TAACCAAATGTTATTCGACATACCAAGTAGATAGCAGTATACGTATTGGTCTGCTTTCTGTCCCAAGTAGTGAACTAGTGATAATTATCTTTGCTTCGGATAAAACATACAAGATTATAAGGAGTCAACAGGGCAGGCCCGGAATCCTCTTTACAGAGAAATCCAATGGGAGATACATATTTATTGCATCCTTTGAAGGTCAGGGTCCAAAGAACAAAGCAAAAGCATATCCCCAAGCAATATGAAGAACTCTCTCCATTAAGTTAGAGGTCTCCTGTCGTTTTGTTTTGTCCTTGCAATAATTTTTTTCTCTACTGTGGACCCTCAAAACCAATTTGCTTAGCCTCGTATCTCGAGGTTTTAAAGGCAGAAAACAGCTTCCATTTTCAACATTACTTTTCCTCAAATACTGCAAAGTCAAGCCAAATCTTCTATATCTTTCACCCCAGATCTAAGTGGGCAAACTAGATCCAATAACCAAAACAACTGAATCCCATTACTATACTGCCATCAAACTCTTCCTTCAGCTCATCAAGTTTTTAACATCATTGTCATTCATTGTCAATCTCAAACTTCAGCCAGCAACATAGTTTCTAAGGGTAAATTACCTGCTTCCAACCTAGTGACTTGAGTGAAAATCACTTATCCCATCCCATGGTTTCAAAAAGTTCCATTATAAAGACAAAAATGTGTAGTTTAACATATCAAGCCAACTTTATTAAAAAAAAAAACAAAAATAGAATTATACATACTGCATGATTTTGCAATATCAGTACATTTCAACAGCAATGACAATGCAAAAAAGCTAGACAAAACAGATAATTAAACTTAAACATGGTATTAATGTCTATATGATTATCCAAAAGGCTACAAAAGGCAGTTGCAGAAATTGATTAATCTTCAGAAGACAAAGTGATGAGAGAAATTTTAAATTTAGAAAGGGAAAATAATGAACAAACTAAGAAAAATCACTTGTAAGGTCCAAACAAAACATTTGCAAGCAAAAGCATAATGCACAACAAGATTTCATCAAGATGATTTTCAAACTCAATAAAGAAAATAACAGTTCTGAAAAAAACTAAAATGCTATTGCCTAGTGCTCACTAAGCAAAACAATTGCCCCCCATATATACATATAACAAGTCTCAAATCTCAAAGGCATAATGATACGAGTATACCACTCAGAGCATGTTTTTCAATTTTAATAACAAGCAAATAATATTGACATTAAAAAGTTATGACACTTTCAGGACTATGAATCAAGAGGCACAACTGAGTTGCGTGACTATAACAAGAGGGAATTTAACAATAACTCCAGCATGTGTCTTCCCAGTTCTTGCTGCATCAATCATTCAAAAATTGTATGTCCAGCAAAAAGTGAACAAAAGAAGAAACATTTCTATCGCACCATGCTCGTATAGCCTGAAATATGACATACACAACAGACTATGAATTTTGGTGCCCACGGGATCTCTTTAATCTTCAACTTCCTCATATAACACTCAAAACCCATAATAGCAAATCAATGATACCATCGCTACTCATGTACACATACTTAGAGCCAAAAGGGTAAAAGATGTAGCTATAAGATTTAAAGACAAGCAAAATATTTACATAGCTACTTCAGTAGCTTACTGCATCGGTGAACTGATATTCTTAAATATGAAAGCAATCAGAGAACTTTGAAGACCATTATAATGATGTGGGAATTCTACATCAAATTCAGCCATTAAACAGATCTCTTCATCTTGCGTTCTATACAAAAATATCTGACCAACTCATCCTTGAAAACAATAAATTGAACGAAAATACATAGTTTTGCAAAGCAATCAGAGAACTTTGAAGACCCAGGGTGGGGTTCCCACACGGCGATTCAGATTCTAAACAACTTTCATCATTTTGCTTTGCAATTATTCAGGAAAAGAAAAAAAAACATTGTTTCTGGCACCAGCTTTGCTTTAGTGAGATTAATTTCAAATCAAAAACAGAGGTTGGTGCCAGAAAGGGTACATTTTGCACCTGTAGTAATACCTCTTTCTCGAGTTTTTCCTTGCAACTAAAACTTTAAGAAGCAAGGGGCCATTGGTGCTTAACACTGTCATGTAATAATAGTAATAATTTCAATTCAAATATTACTTACCTGAAAATTGAAATATCAAAATGGCAACAGGGCTTGCCTTGGTTTAGCTCATCAGGCAACCGCCTGATGGTTCTTTTCCAGGGTAAATGATGGTTCTTTTCATTTGGTGGGGATGGGGTAGGAGGGTGAAATGATGATTGAGACTAGGGTTTGAGTCTGGAGATGATACTTATAGAAGGTGATCATTGAATAAAACGACGACGCACAAGCTTTTCATAATTCAATTTAGGGTCTCCAAACTTCTAATATTTGTGATTTGATTTTTTTTATTTTTTATTTTATATTTTAAGAAATAGCTTTAACCCCTATAAAGAATCAGTTACGAAGCCCACAAGTAGCTGCCTTTTCAGGTTAAACTTGGAACAGTCCAGAGATCCAAACTGTAATGGGAGGGCGTATCCCCATGTCATGCACCTTGTCAAAGCTTTGATAATTAACAAGTAACACAATAATTAACATTCTCCAAGTAAAACAATATACATCAAAAAATGGCAAGAATATACATCATAAGGCACAATGTGTGCCTGCAAAACAGAATCTCAGAGGCCATCAAAAATAAACCATGAGGGGAGGTTTCGCCCTCAACAAATATACAGCTAATGTAGAAAAGAGTGCAATGAGAATTGCCATGAAAATGTATATCAGTTTAAGGTGGCCTGTCTTTCCTCTTTTTGCAACTTCCACCCTTGAAATTGTGTCACTGCCATCAGTTACAGCACCGGAAGGTTCAACTTCGGTCCTATAAAGAGATGCATTCTTTTGATTGTCATTCACCTGTTTCAGAAGAAAAAGAAGAGATCATTCAAATGAATTATGGTTTTTTATGTATAAAACTCTAAAAGGTCCATTATCTCTTCTCAAAGAATGAGTAAACATCAAAGGTACATCATGGTTTCTCAACAGACCAACTGAAACTTTCTGTTAAAGAACAACTAGAACCTATTTGAGATGGCAAAGGATGATATAATTCCATTGATTTCAACATAAAGCTGCCTAAAAATCTTCAATGCACAGCATGCTATTTTCAATGATGTTCTTTGTCAATATCACTTGGATGAAAATTGCTAAGAAAAACACCATCACTTAGGATTATATAGAAGAGTTTGATTGCCAATTCAGTTGTGTGCTTCAGGTTACAAAAACTATATCCATCACATCTTATGAATGCCCGATGAACCCTTACACTAATCATAAATATTGGCTCAAAGGGTATGAGTATTCAGTTGAAATGTGTAAGGATAACTGAATCTAATCTACCATCCGACTTTCATCTCATGTGACAGTCCCCGGTCAAGTACTGCATTTGGGGTGCTACCAACATGGTCATATAAGTGCATTCACAACCTTCATGGTTAGAGGGGCTGTTGGAATCTGATACACAAGGAGCCGACACTCAGTTACATGGAGTTCCTGATAAACTCTAAAGGGTAGCTGTGTTAAAATTTAATTGGAGATCCTACCTAGCAGTTAGAAAACACTCAGTTCCATGAAGCATTGAAAATTTTACTTCACATACAAATAAAATGCACCTTGCTTCCCCTACCTCTTTGACAGCAACCGCATCAACTAGTTGCAATTTTTTTTTTCTTTTGTGAAAAACAATAAGGAAAAACTGAGTACCTGCCTGTACACTTGTGGCTGAGAGAACTGTTCTCTCAAATGTTTTTGTACAATTAGCTTTAATTGAATCACTCTTGGAGACAGATATCTCTTCGCCATCAACTCCAGAGTTGCAGACAGCTAAAGAGCCAATTTGTACAGTGTTTTGCAACTTTTTCAGCAATATTGCCTTCTCCTTTACTAATGAAAATAGCTGCAAAGAACATTTTTCAAAAAATTAAAGTGAAAGTATTAGCTCCATAAGAATGTTAACATCAGTCAACTACGCATTTGCCTATCTCTTTGTTTCCCAAGAAAAACTTAAAAGTTCAAAAGAGAAATGTTAAAAAGAAAACTCAACAGTCAATCATGCAGGTCCTACAGAAAATCTACAGTTCAACATCTTTTTACCTATCAAAAGTAGCTACATCACCAATATTCAAATGGAAATTTAAAAACCAGTAGGAACTATTTCTTTAACAGCATAACTTTTAGGTTGTCTTGGCATGTACAAGTTTTTAATAATCACTATGAATGCTATTGCCATTTACTTTACCAGCTCCAACATGAGGATACATGTACACACAAAATCATGAATAAGACACAATAAAACAACTCAAGAGTAGATGACAGATTTCGGATTTTGTCATATCAGAATAATTTAAAGTTGATACCTGCTTTTGAATGCGTTCCCTTTCTGTGGCTAGTTGGGTAACCATATCTGTGATTAGCTTGGTCCTATAATTGATTTCTTTTGCATTTGCCGCCTTTTCATTGTTAGCTTGGTCCAAAGATGTCTCCAAGCATTCGATTTTATTCCTCAGGATGCCTAGCTCGTTATTAAGTTCAAAGTTAGATTCTGATAATATAATGCACTGCTCCTCCACATTATCAGTCTTACTTTCAGCTTTTGCAACTTTTGATTTTAGATCTTCAATTAAAGTTTCCATATCCCATATTGCAGAGTACAACATGTGCTGCTGCTCCTGGCTTGCTTCAGAAGATGCTTTTGCATGCTGCAGTTGAATCTCCTTTTCCCTCAACTGCTTCTCAAGTGAGGTCACCTTCTTTGTATTATTATCATTATTACCTTTAAGAAAATTCAACTCTTCGGTAAGTTCCAAGTTTGCATCTGTTAACTCTGTAACCTTGGCTTCTGCACTTTCAGACCTACTTTCTGTGTCACAAACATTTTCTTTTAGTGAATCAATAATGATTTCCATTTCATGAATATGCTCTTGACTTGTTTCATTGGAGGCATTTGCATTATTCAGCTGTAGCTCAGATTCTTTTAGCTGTTCCTCGAGTAATTTCACCTTCTTCCTCAAACTGAATACTTCAGAAGCTTCTGCAGCATGTTCTGCATTGCTGCTCTCAAGCTTTTTTAAAGCAATATCTTTGCTATTTAACTCTTCAATGCAACCTTCAAGTTTAGATTTGAGCTCAGCTTCTCGTTGAATTGAACCCTTCAGGTTAAACTGAACAATCTGAAGTCGACCTACAAGCTCCTTTGAAATTCCCATGAGCACCTCAGCAGCATTTTCTGCCTCTAGAAACCTTCCCCAAACAACTTCTGCTGCCTCTTCCATGCGAAGAGCTACTTGTTCAGTATAGTGTAGCTTCAGTTTTAATTGCTCTTCATTTTGAACAAACTCTGATAATTTCTTTTCAAGATCTAGCTCCCGTGCAAGTGATTTTTCAAGCATCCTTAATATATGTCTTTGCTGTTCAACTGTCAGTACTTTTGATTTGCCAATGATGTTTGATAGCTGATATTGTTCAGCTATGGCCATGGCGTTGTCATTGTTCCCTGTTAATATGTATCTCTTAGAATGGTATACAATCAAAATAACTAAAGTATAGGGATCTTCATTATTTGTATTGGTTAAGCTGTTAAATTATAAACAATGTTTGTAACTTATTATTCTTATGTTATGTGATAAACTCAAATTTAAACTTACAGTTCTCATTTCTGAAATATGAAATGGAATCTTGCAGCTTGGTTGACTGCATCTTCACCTCCAAGACAAGCTCTTGACACTTTTTAAGGGATTGTTCAGAATCATGCAGCTTCTCTTCCATTTTATTGAATAGTGCTCCCAAAGGTCTGCATGAAGATATTTTATGACGGGCATCAACAATCTCCACTTGAACGGTATACAAGAAAGTTTCCACTTCCCTTAACTCAGAATCCAAAATTCCACATAACAGATCAAATACCAATGCCTTTTCAACGAACTGAGCTGAAATATCACTATTCCCTGAGGCCATTGCTTCAGGATCATTGTCCCAACCCAAAAGCAGCATTAAAAGTACATGCAAATTTACCAATTTCTCATTAGAATATGCCAAGTCCAAGTCAATTCTGTTCAAAGTGGAACTCTGCATTTCTTGGATGCCCTCTCCACTTGATGAGGCCTCTTCATGTAACTGAACTGCATCTAACTCTGGATTTCCCATATGCATATTTTTATCATCAACATTGACGTCATTGATTTCCATAGCCCAGTTCTTTGTTTAGCTATCTGAGGAAGGCAGGAAAAATGAAAAGGCAAAAGTAGGCATTATTGTTCCATTATACTGATACAAATTACACTTTGCAACTAATTCATATAAGAGAAACAGAAGAGTACTATGGATGTGCATTGATGGGTGTGATTATTTTGTCTCCCGACATTTAGGCATACATATCATTGAGCTTTAAATGCAGCTTGTCATTCACATAAAATCATGATAGCAACAATGTGTCATAAGAATTCACCGAAAGAAAAAGTGTACCATAAAACTAACTGTCTCTTATCAATGAAGGACCAAATGCAGGTATTTGCACTTATAAGAACTAGTCATTAGTGTCGTCCCCAATTAAATAGGTTGGACTATCCTTCTGCAAATCCATATAAATGGGTTGAAGCATTTGAACATTTTATGGTTCATTAACTACTCAACAAAGATGACCTAAGATAAGCCTAGCTAACATTGTTTTAAAGTAGTGCGCAGCCACAAATTTTGGGTTCTATCTAAACCAGAAAGCAGCGAAATTCAGCTACAGAAAACTCAGTGATGCACACTGCTTTTTGTTCACTCAGGTATCTCCTCTTTTGAAGTTGAGAAAGCAAATTGAAAAAGACAAATTAACCATGGAGCAATAAAATCAGTAATTTATTAGCTAATCCCCTCCCGGAACTTGAAAGCTTTCCCAACCCTGGTGCATTCCAAAATCTTAATGATCCCCATCTGTTATAAGAATGGAACTCATTAATTTCCACATCTTTGACAAAGACTCGACACTTGAATTCTACAATTAGATTAAGATGAAAAGGAAATAAAACTTTATAAAGCACTAAAAATCTTCAGTTCTTCCCTAACACTTCCACCAACATCAGACGAAAATTTGACATCTGGGGTCAAAGCATTAGAAGATTTAAAGAAACCAAAACAACACCACATATTATCATCTCCCATTAATCCCAACTAGAATTTAAAGTTACCAAACTGTCAATAATGAAACAATAAATTAACATGCATAAATAACATAACAGCAAAGGAAAGGAAAACAAAACCAAAAAAAAAAAAAAAGCAGAAGCAGAATGCAGTACTATGCAGAGTTTAGTTCAGAACAAGAATACTTTGCAAGGACCAAAAGAAATGAGATGAGAATGAGGTACCTGAAAGCAAAACCTTGATGGGTTTTCCTTAATTCTTGAAAAGGAAATGGATCAGCCAAAGAAGAATTTCCTTTCTCGTTTTCAACTACCTCTCATTTCATAATACCGTTGATATTCTTCGATCTGTCTGTTAATGAGCATAGAGTCTAAAATATACCAGGGGTGTATGTCAAGAAGAGTGGGCGATGGTTTAGACCGAATGATGTGGTCCGTGCACGTTAGCAACCACCAAGGGTCCTACGTTGCATTATTGAGATGCCAAAAGAAAAAACCAATGTAAAAGTTATCACATGGCCTACCGAAACAGGCTGTACAAATAAGCCTGCCAAACTCAAAACATGTCTGTCTCAGGAACCCAAGTTAATTATTTTGTCATTAGATTTGGATTTTCTTCGGATTTTAGACCTTCTTGTTTCTTCTACTGTACTTACTCGGCCTTTATTATATGCAAGGAACAAGTTTTACAAAAATATTATATATTTTTTCTATTTTCAATTTTCAAGAAAAAAATTAAAATCAAGTTCTTTGAATCTTCATATTTATTATGTAAAACAATAAATAAATATAAATACATATCAAAACGATAATAAAGAATTTTCATATTTGTTAAACTGTAGATATGTTGAATATATAAATATAATAGAAAACATTTTATCTATTATCCATTGATTTTAGATATGATATTCATTCTAAAATTTAACACAGTATGAAAGCAGGCAGTGTCCTCATTGTTGTTCCTTTAGTGATAAATTGTTACATGTTAAAGACTGTTCTCCCTACATGTGAAAGGAGTAAAGTATACTTAAAAACTTATTTGACTTAATTTTTTTTAGTTTAAAAGTTACTATAAAGATCTTATGAAATGATAATATGAATATAATAATCAATATGAATATCTAAAACTTGTTTGGAAATTCCAAGGAAATAATGACTATAGCATGTTAGAAATAGGAATAAATGATAAATGAGTCCAAAAAAAGTAATGTAAATGGTCCAGTAAGATTGACCCTTATAACAAAAGATTATGTACTATGCTTAAGTATTATTATCTCATTTATTATTTTATAGTCGAGTTTGTGAATTTCACTCGTGATATGTGTATATATTTGTAATTATCTTTTCTTTGATCACATAAATAAACACGGGATAATTAAGTGTTAAATTTTAAATTTATAGTAATATTTACCTTTCGTTTTTTAATTTCAAATCATTTATCACAACTCTCAAAAATAATATTATCTTTAATCCATTTTTAAACAGAAGATACATCGACCACCTAACAAATCAAATTTTATTAAAAAAAAAAGGCAAAACAAATTCTGAGTGCAATTAAACTTGAACTTGAGTCGTTCATGATTTATGAGTATGATGGGATTAAACATTAAGTGAAGTCTATCCTTTCGGCTTTCATGGCCGAACACAGTCAAAGTTTGGACCAAAGCAAAGGCATTAAATTAGCCACCTAGCCCATACTAACAAAATATTGGTTTCAGGCTTATTTGTAACATGTTGCTGTCTGCCGGGCCCTGTCCTCAAAGCCCTATTTGCATGATTCTGTTTGGTTCATTTTTTGTCTCCATTTTAGCCCCTCGTTTTTCTTCAATTTTCTTTTCTTTTAAAAATGTTGAAGAAAGTTTCATATTTGATATAATAATAGTTATACATTATATATATAATACCATACGGAATGATATTTAATGTAAAATAATTATGCATTGATATTTTCATAAACTTTTCACTGATTTACAAGATTTTTTTTTAATCACATTTTTCAAATTAAATGAATAATTCTCGTGAATACGCATGACGAATAGAGTGTCACAACCCATTTCTACCATACAAAGTGATATCACAAATCTGGTAAAAAAAACTTTTAACCCATCTACTAAATTTGGCCTCACACGAGTAGGTAACAATTGTGAAAGATGTGACATTTTTTAGGCAAATATCATTTTGACCTTGTGATTCAATATATATTTCATACCACATGCCAAATAACTTTCTAGGCCAAACCAATTTTAGAGTGCCAAATATACACTAAAACCAACGACAAACACATGCTCATAAAACCTTAGGTATTTTTTTTTTATTTTTCCTTTTAAACCAATTCACCCCTCAAAAGATCGTCCAAGTATACAAGTTGTATCCTTTGCGACCTTAATAAGAAAGACAGTGCTTTCGTTACTAAAGGCTTCCGAGACCTTTCTCCCGAAACATTCTACAATTATAGAATTCGGACAGGATGTTTAACTAACTTGTCTGTCTTTTGTGCCTGCTTGGAAGCTTGGTTAGACCGATTTTGCTCTCTTTGAATTACATTTCCCACTCGTGAAAGAATCAATTGCTAGATTTGTGAATAGTAATTAAAAGTGGACTAAATATTTTGGTCGGTTCATCACAATCTCGGCTTCGGACTAATTAATAGTGAAACTTCATATTCAAGTTAAGTCTTTTCATTTTGTTTCGTAACTCACTTCTCTTATCCACTTTGCATCATAGAAGAGTTCGTACTAAAGTTATTAGGCTTAACTTTAATAAAATTTCAAGACCATACTCAAGTTAGGTTTAATTTTTGTTTTTCTTTATCTACTTTGTTTCTTAAAAATAGATTAAAGTTATTTCTTGAATCCATGAAGAGTTTTGAGATTATTAATTATCCCTAATTTTACGATATCTTGCCCTGATCAAAATGCAACGAAAAGGGATTTGGCTTCTCTAAAAGTATCGAAATGTTATTTATTTTTGTTTGATTAATTTAAAGATTTAATGGTATCATAATTATTAATTATCCCTAACTTTATGATATATTGTACGAATAGAAATACGACGAAAAAGGATTGGGCTCCTCTTCTTTACTTTCCTATAAAAGTAACAAATATTTTTCAATTTATTTGATTAATTTAAGGATTTAATGATATCATACTTAGGTAAAAGTCGGTACACTAAGACAAGTGATTAGTGTACTAAAGAACAACATCATCCATCAATGATATACATGCAGATTCCTTACAAAATCCCATGATAGTTTGACAGGTTTGGGAAAAACCTTTGTGCATCAAACTAATTTCCATGTATGATTAGGTTAAGTTTCTTGGACAAGATGGGCAAAGAGAAGATATGAGTGATTGAACCAACCAGAACCTTGGGATGACTTTGCTTTGCTATAAAAGCAAGTTAAAAAAAGATTGTTAAATTAGTCTAAAAGTGGTTCCTAATAACCCAATGTAGCATGCAGGACCCCATTATTGATCTTAAGCTAGAAATATCCAATGATGGGTGACAGGGAAGAAAAAAAAGGCCTTTGTATTTCTGGGCTCGGTTTCTGTCCTTGGATGAGATGGTGACTTGAGGGTATTAAATCGTGAGGTCACCATAACGTTGTAAATTGAAAAGGATGGAGAGAAAAGTGTGATGTGGCCATCAAGAACGTACGTACTCTGATGGAGAAACCAGACAAGTTCCAGGAAGAAGACAAGCTCTCAACTCCTCTTTTCCTGTCTATTGATAGATTAGAGGTTAGAATAAAAGGCATTAGATTTGAAAACCCCAGCACTTTTTCCTCGAATCAAATAAGGAAAAGTCGGCAGGCTTTCCCTTTTCTTTTGTTTGATTAAGTTAAAAGTTGACATAATATGAAATTTAGATACCAGGTAAAGAATCATGCATGTATAACTCAAAGGAACTTCGACTTTTCTCTATAAATAATTTGCCATATATAGCCCTTAATTTTTTATTAGAACCTAGCCTGCTTATGTCTATGAAGCTGTCCAAATTGGGAAAATAATGGCTAATTTGAAAGGATCTGTAGACTCTAATTAGATTAGTATCAAACTGAATAAGGATATTCCAAGTATAGAAGGGATGGCACGGGCTTGGTGGGCAGTGGAAGCTCCCCCTTGCTTGACTCCTCTTTTAGTGACTGAACTTAACTATTTAGATCGATACTTAAATTTAACTCAATTGATAAAAATGAAATAAAAATCAGATAAATATATTATGTTCAAATGATATTTCTCACTTGTATCATTAAAAAAAAAAAAACTCCATTGTGTTACACACAAAACTCCAACAACCAACATAGAGAGAGAAATACCGTATTTGCATAATCAAGGAGAAAGAAAGACAATTCGGTCTGACGAAGGTAAAATTAGCAAAAAGCATATTGCATTTGAGAAATGACATTTACCCAACCAAAAATGACTCGTTTTTCACCAATCTATGGGTGCATATACTGATGTAAAAGGTTCCTAGCTGACGAACATTTCCAGTATCTCTCAACCTAGTTCTCTATACGATTTTCGTGGGGGACAGTCGATTGCTTTGGGGGAGACAGGAAGTTGAGATAACTGGCACTCTTTTTAATTTTTTTTTCATCACAATTAAATCTTCCACCAAATAAAGGGTCCCATATACCTTACATTTACTTTGGTTGTAAGGGTGAAAAAACATTGAAAAGGTACAGGAAAGTTCCTAACATTTTCGAGTGGGCATCTTCTGTTTAGAAAAGAAAGGTGAATCCTATTATGGATTAGGGTTTTGAGGGGAAGAAAAAGTGAGCCAAAAGGTGGTGCCAAAAAGTTTGAAAACTATCATTCAACAACAACTCTCATCATGCCATGCAATGATGCTTGCATGAATTTCATAAAATCTTAAAGCAGATTTTATCTTTTCATTTTTTTTTTCAAACTCTCCCAACTGACATTCATCTTCTCTACCATTCAAGATCTTTGCATCTCAAAGCTATGTTAACTCTTGAATGTGTACTGTCTAGCACTTAGCTTTACCTTATACTGCATTATAGTATAATGGAAGGGCTGACCCCTTTCACTTAACCAAGTCAAACCAATGAACTGTGCCCATCTCAGCTACATTAATACACAATCTAAACTACTTAATACCCTTGATATAAATACATTCTTCCAAACCAGTAGATCCACACTTTTAGACTTAGTTTATCTTGTTAAGTTAAACATTGGATGGAGATTTTAAATTTAAAATACGATATTATTGTTGTAAATAAAAAGACGTAATGAAATAATTGTTATTGTATTATATAGTAAGATAGTTTTATTAGAATTATAAAAATACGAGCATGGTCAACATTATTTTTTTTTCTGCTGACAAGTATGCTCCTTGGGTAAAATACTAGTAACATTTCAAGATTTGTACAATAAATATGGGTGCAAATTTTAATAATGTGCAAGTGCAAGATGATATAGATTGGCATAATGTAAAGTTTGAAACGTGCTTTGCTTTAATTGATTAAAGCTCAAGAGCAAGCACTACTTTATTAACATCTCCATACCAATGTAGAAAAAGAAAGTGGGGGAGTAATCATGGATGATACAGTCCTTGATTCAGGTTAAAGAATTCTTAAAAGCCCTGTTTAAGAGATCTCGAATCCCCAACACCCATCCCATGTTGCTTAGGATGGGATTTTGTTTGCTTGGTTTTTTGCCTTTTCCCAAAAGGAGAGCCATTGCCAACCATGACCCAACTCTTAGTGCTTTATAATATATGTACAGTTTTCTATTTAAATAATAAATATATATTGACACCAATCAATAGCCTCCCTTCTTACGAAAGGGCACACAAAGTACAGATGGCAGCAACCCATTTACAAAGTTCTTGAGTTGCCTAATTATTTAATTGGAGAAAATTGTTACTAAGGAATCTGCTGCCCCTGTTGTTTAATTAGATTAGTAGGGTTTTGTTTTATTTTATTCTTTTTTCCTTTGGACTGTACCCTTGTAGATTTTTGTTTATGGTTTCTAATACATTGTATTCTGAAAGAATTTATAGTATTATTATAAGATATGTTATTTAATTATAAAATGTAGAAATCTAACTTGTTGTATTCTTCTCCAACATACCTAGTAAACCAACCCAATCAACACAAATCATTTTCTCTTCTTACATGGGGCAATTTAATAGAGCTTAGGGTTAAGTAAAAGATTAGTGGTTTACTTATAAAGTAAAAGTGGGGAGAGATTCCCATTATTCTAAAGCTTAGGTCTTGGAGAATTGAAAGTCCCAAGGGCAACTAATAATGACATGAGAGAAAGAGAGAAAGGGACAGTCCATCAAATATAGTATAAGGTAGTAAAATATTTGCCACACACAGTTTACAGGAAAAACAACACTATCTTTTAGATTTTTTATTGTTCATGGATGACCTGCCTGACCTCCTCCAGTTAAAGCCTTGGTTAGAGAGGAGGAACACAAAAGAAAAGAGGTTCAAATTTGTTTGGTCAACTCTCTGAGAATGTAGCTAAAGCTGATAGCCATTAGATTTGATTACTTTTGTAAGGGATTCTGACATTTGCTCAAAGAAAATTGGAGATATTAGAAGATTCAGGACAACTTGAAAACTTAACCAGACATCTAATGTTCCTTTTCAGATTCATATATGGTCTTTTTGACCTAAAAATGGGTAAGATGAAAACCTTTACTTGAACTTCAAGTGGGGACTTAAAGTCAAATAAATAGCTATATTTTTGCAAGGAATGAGTACCATAGCCTTCACACAAGTTTGGCCAAGTGCCTATAAAAGAATTCCCAAGCTACACAATGATGCAAGGAAGATAATTGAGAGTAATAGTTGGCGTGAGGCAGCAGCATGGCAGTGGGCAAAAGGCATTGTCAATTTGGCAAGTAGGCAGCAGTGCCATGTTTTACCCTCCAGTGCACACTCGTCCGATTGATACCTAATGCCACCACCGCAAATTGCCACTATTCTTCTGTAAACATTGTCCCTTGGACTTAGACCATCGCTTCATTGTCATATCAATGTTTAACATTGACACCAACTGAACAAGTGTCTTCCTTTATTATTTGAGAGAGAATTGTTAGATGGCTTAATATTGTTTCTCAACGAGTAACACTGGGTATTAAGTGTCGATGATGATAATTTCGAATGCACCATCTTTATAAGTACAAAACACATTACCTTGATATGGGAATTAAGCAACCTAAAGAAAGGGTGAAGGATTTGGTTTTTTTTCCCTCCAAGTTTCCACAGACAAACAACACAAGAAGGTGGATAAGACAGTCAAGTTATCAAATGAGAGAAAGATACCATAGATCTTCCCTCCCCATATGTAAATGAAAATTGATAATAATACCCACCACATGACCCAGATGGGTATTGTATCTTAGTTAATAACCCCCAAAAAGATAATTCTACGAAGTGTGAAAATGAGCTAGATTTTAGCTTCTTGACCAAACAAACCCCATTAAAGATCTTGAAGCTCTCCTCCCAAGGTTTTTTTTTAATAAAAAGGACAATACAATAAGATAAACAAAAGGAAAAATCCTATGAGGAGAGTTGGCAGTGTCAGTTGCTAGCTCAAATGGGTATAATTATAACAAAAATATGCCATTGAAAACACTAAAACAAACTTACAGAAATAACCCCAAAGTGATTTAAATGGTTAAAAAAATAGTCCCACATAGGAGAAAGGAAGCAAAGTTTTGGAGTTTGAAGGTAGGGAAGGGGGCTGTTGTGCAATATTTTAACAGCGGCAGTGGCGGTGGTTAATGATCAAAGAGCTCTCTTTTTGATGCAAGCGTGGGTATAAATGCAGGACCTTTGCCGATGCTCTTCTCTTTCACTCTCCCCTCTTCAAAATAGACAAATACCCATTTCGTTTTTCTCACTCTTGAATAATAAAACTCTCTATTACTTTTTCTTCTCTGTTTTTTTGACTGTTTTGTAGCAGAGTTGCCCCGTTGCTGAGGAAACCAAAAAAAAAAAAAACTAGTAGCTCAAATTCAATTAAAGCTTTAAATTTTGTGTGTGCGTGGGAGTGTTGAGAAAAGAAAAAGGGCCTTGAATGAGAGAGCAGAGAGAGTACAGAAAAGTAAGCACAGAATCTGAAAATGGGTATCTTTCTCCCCCACTTTTAGTTGAGTTTCTCTCTCGTTCTGGGTGCTCTCTGCGAAAACTCTGACTAGGGTTTTGAATGAGAAGGGTGGCTTTATTTATTGTACTGAAATCAATGTTCTTTTTTAGATTGATTGACTGCTTCTAGTAGACTCTTTTCCTTTTTTTTTACAGCTCTTCTTTGAACTTTCTTTTTCTGTTCTGTTGTGACTTTTTGTCTTGAATAAGGCTTTTTCCATTGTGCGAGTTTTTCTGTACTTCCAATTTCCGGTTGTTGCTTTGGAAATGGTAGCTGTTTCAGCCTGTGGGGATCTTTTTTACATTATTTCAGTTCTGTTTTTTGGCGGTTTATTAATTGAAGTGGGTTTTCTGTGATTTCTTCTGCTGAACCGTTTCTATGGTTTTCTTTTGGGGTGGGTGAATTTCAGCTTCCTAGGACTATAACTTTCTTATTTTTTAAGTTTTCAGACCCCTTGTGGACTTAGCTTGAAGCTTGTTCCTAAAGTTTTTGTGTTTTAATATATGTCAAAGAATTAGATAATTTTTCCATGTGATTTGTTTGTTGTTGTCTTTTCTACCTGTATATTTTGTGGTCTTTGATCTTTGGTTGATCATTTTGGAGCAGTTAAGGGCATTTTTAGGTAGTGGTCACATTTTGAAGGCTTAGTTTCTGTTCATTAGCCTGACTTCGGAGTTTGGACTGTTGGCTTGACTAGGTGTTCAAACATAATTGTGGAGAAAAGCACAGACTGAGATACAATCGCTATTCTTGTTGAATAGGGATGGATATAGGTGAAAAGGATAAATATGAGCTCGAAAAGAGGAATGGGAATCACATAAACTACCAGGCACCTGGTATGTCATCTGATTGGCAGTTTGGTGGTGCCAATCTCACAAGTACTCCGATGAGTTTAGTTTCTAGTGATAATCCCATGGCTATTGGTTCTTCATGTGCCTCTGCTTCAGTGGTAGACTCTTTCGGTACGAGCCTTTGGGAGCACGCATCTAATTCACAAAACTTGGGATTTTGTGACATTAATGCACAAAATGGTGCAAGCTCTTCAAATGGAATGGCAATTGGAAAAGGTGGTAACTCTCTGAGAAGTACCATAGATAGACCATTTGATATGGGTTGGAATACAGCAAGTTCAATGCTGAGAGGTGGTATTTTCTTACCGAATGCGACTGGGATTCTACCACAGAGCCTATCTCAGTTGCCAGCTGATTCAGCTTTCATTGAGCGTGCTGCCAGGTTCTCGAGCTTTAATGGGGGAAGTTTTTGTGACATGGTGAACCCTTTTGGTATTCCTGAATCTATGGGTCTGTATACTAGGGGTGTTGGCCTGATGCAAGGACCACAAGATATTTTTGCAATAAGTGGGATGAAAACAGTATCTGTTGTGGAATCTGAGAAAAGTAAGTTGAATTCCACTGAAGCTTCCAAAGATGTTTCTTTGCAAATTGAAAATAGGGCTACTCAAGAAAGTCCACTCAAGAATGAAAAGAAAAGTGAAAGTCTTGTTCGATCTAATGAAGAAGCAAAACAAGGAAATGGTGGCTCTGGTAACGAGTCTGATGAGGCTGAGTTTAGTGGTGGTATTGGTGGTCAAGATGAACCATCTGCATTGGATGGTCTAAGTTTGGAACCTTCTGCTAAGGGTCTTAGTTCAAAGAAAAGAAAAAGGAGTGTACAGGTAAAAAATGTTTGCCAACTGGTTCCCTGATCCATTATACCTTTCCATTTATGGCATACATTTGAGTGCTGTGTTTTGTGGCAGGATGCTGAGGTTGATCAAGCAAAGGGAGGCCAACCACCTGTTGAGGCTGCAAAGGATAATGCTGAAAATCAAAAGAAGGGAGACCAGAACCAAACTACAACAATCAATAAGACTGCGGGGAAACAGGGGAAACAAGGGTCTCAAGCTTCTGATCCACCAAAAGAAGATTACATTCATGTTAGAGCCCGAAGAGGCCAGGCAACAAATAGCCATAGTCTTGCAGAAAGGGTAAATTTACTTGGAAACTTTATTGAAATTTAGCAATATTTAGATAATCTTTTTTGTTTAGATTGAAATTGGTTGTGACTTCAGGTAAGAAGAGAAAAGATTAGTGAAAGGATGAAATTTCTTCAGGACCTTGTACCTGGTTGCAGCAAGGTTTGTTTTCTTGGTTGTTATAGCTTAGGAAGTACAATCAAACTGACTTCTCAGCGGTAATCAGAACAGCTACGTAGTTCATTTTGTTTGGGTTTATTATCGATGCAGGTTACAGGCAAGGCAGTGATGCTAGATGAAATCATTAACTATGTACAGTCACTTCAGCGGCAGGTTGAGGTATTGGACCAGAATTCAGAACTTCTCTTTTCCAACCTAGTGGTTCCCTAGTAATCTAGTGTGATTGATGATGGTGTAATTGTGCATACTTCTATCTTATCAAAGTGATCTGATAAGTATACAAACTAAAAAAATAAGTAACTTGGTCAATCTTGTTCTAGATTGATGTAAATGATACAACCTTAGGTCTTATAGGGTATTTCTTATGATGGCCTTGCTTTTAAGAAACTATAATTGATGTATGGGCTTACAGTTTGAATGTCTATAGCTCATCTGTGAATTTTTGTACAGTTGATTTGATATGTTGTGGAGACATAACCCTCTGCTGCTCTTCACTAGTTTTGTCCCCTATCCTTTGACTGAGTGATGAGTGTATAGTTAATGGATGTCACCTTTTACTCCTTTTTGCAGTTTCTATCAATGAAACTTGCTACAGTGAACCCAAGGCTGAATTTTAATATAGAAGGGCTCCTGGCAAAAGATGTAAGTTGATCAGCACAGATTTCAGCAATAACTGATGTCTACATGTGTCTCATCTGATCCATCAAAGTGCATCTTCATTGATATACAGATTATTCAATCACGAGCTGGTCCTTCGTCTCTGGGGTTTTCTCCAGATATGTCCGTGGGTTATCCTTCATTGCATCCATCTCAACCTGGACTTGTTCAAGCTGCTCTGCCTGTCATGGGAAATACCTCTGATGTAATCCGTAGAACTCTCAGTTCCCAGTTCACACCCATGAATGGAGGATACAAGGAGCCTAATCAGGTTTTCTTTTTCTTCTTTTTATGTAGTTCACACATCATGTATGTGTGTGTGTATTTCTAGCATCAAGTGGTTAATTAATCGACAAGAATTGAATTAATTCATGAAGGTCCTCTATGAAACCTTTCCCTGGCATGAACTTGGGCCTTAAGTTTTTTTATTCTTGGTCATTGGTTTTCCCCTTTTAATATATTTTTAAAGTGTTATCAATGTGAAAGGAAAATTAATGAGCTATGAAAATTTATTGTGCAACGTTGGCTTTAATGCATGATGTGAATGATGTAAAATGATTTATCTGCTAAACGTCATAAGTCTCTGAGTATTACGATTATCTTTCATGGTTGATACATTCTGGTTCCAGCTATCAAATGCATGGGAGGATGACCTCCACAATGTTGTCCAGATGAATTACGGAACTGGTGCTCCTTCTGACAGCCAAGATGTGAATGGTATAACTCCCTTTTACGTGTCATAGGCATAGTGTTCTCAGATCTGACTAAAATTTATCTAATGCATTTGCAGGGTCTCTACCATCAGGTCACTTGAAAGTAGAACTTTGATCCTCCTCTTACAGCTCTATTCCAGGCAGCTCCATTATGGCCTACTACCTGCTATACTTATCCTGCATTCTTGAAGGTAGCCAAGGGCATGCAGAATCAGTATTTGAAAGATTTAAGTGTAAACATATAGTGTCAGCATATTCCTACCAGTTTCTTATTGGATAATTGAAGGTGCTATCGGCCTGGTTTTATAGCTGGGAATATCTCACATTTTGCCAAAACAAAGGCTTGCTTGAAGGCTCATGGTTCCTTAACTGTGGTGGGACAGGAATTTCCATTTCTTTCGTTTGAGCATTAGATATATAGAGGGAAATGAAACTCCTTTGATGGTGGGAATCGTATTACTGTCCCAGTCAGAGGAAAGCTGGATTAGAATGTATAGATTGATGATGGAAAGTTTTTGTGATATATAGGAGTTTTATCTAGTAGTATTAGATGGTCTCTGTAATTTTACAGATGGCAGTGGGAAGTATTTTGTTCAGTTCAGAGATGTAAGTTGTATTTGTTTATTATGTATTGAGGGCTATAATGTTCTTCAATCTTCCTCTACATTTTTTCTTGGCTTTATCTGCATTCACTACCCCATACTCCTGGAATAAAATCACTGCCCCTATTTTGTTGATTATTGAAAGTGTTCATCCTCACCATGGCATCAATCCGTGCGTATGACTTCAGTTAGACATTGGAATTTATTACAAGATTGATTCCTTCAATAAGCAGATACATATTTTTTTTAATATACAAATCTGATGCTTCAGAACAATCCCCCTGGAGGGCAGAGGGGGACAAGAAATCATGGGACGGTGTCTAATAAACAATGGGGCGGTTCTTATCCTGTACTGTTTTGTCCTCCTATAAATCACATTGAATGTCACATAGAATTCTGATCCTCCCAGGGATACGAGATGCATATCTATTATGATTCTAGTTGATAATTGATGAAGATGGCCCCAGTGGAATAAAATGTCTGGCTGTCATGGTCACCAGCAATCATAATATATCTACAGAAAAGTCAGCTACGAACCGTATACCAGTTTCTTTGCAGCAAGGATGGGGAGTCAAGCAAACACGTGGGAGATGAAGATACTTAGTAGAATTTGAATTGGGGTTTTCAAGCTGCAACTTGCAAGTGGAAAGCAATGGCTCTCAATCTGAGCTACAAGAATTTGAGACAGTTATTTATTTAATTCTGATCATGACAGCTCTTTTCAATCTGGTGCTTGTAAGTTATCAAGTTCATAGGTAAAAGCTCTTCTTTGATCTCCATTGTTAAGTATACAGCGATGTCACCTAATTCAATATTATATTAAATAATATTGTCACCTTGCCTTTGCGTTTTAAACCAAATAAACCCTAACGCTCCTTCCCGCCAACTAACTGTTTTCAACAGAAAATGTCTTCAAACTCCAACTACTACTGTTCGTTACTGAAGATCTGCACCGAAACCCGTAACCGGACTCGACTAAAGAGAATCCATTGCCACATTCTCAAAACCTTTAAAGACCCGGAGACATTCTTATTGAACAATCTCGTCAATGCGTACAGTAAACTAGGCGATTTAACCTATGCACGCTACGTGTTCGACAGAATTCCCCGACCGAATCTCTTTTCATGGAATACTATTCTTTTCACTTATTCGAAATCTGGGAATCTTTCAGACATGAATTTTATATTTAATCGCATGCCGAAACGCGATGGGGTTTCTTGGAATTCCCTTATTTCAGGGTATGCTTCTCGTGGTATGGTTACTGAGGCAGTGGAAGTTTATAATTCTATGTTGAGGGATGGGGTGGCTAATTTGAATAGGATTACGTTTTCTACAATGCTTATATTGTCGTCTAGTCAAGGGTGTGTTGATTTGGGTCCGCAGATTCATGGGCAGATTGTGAAATTTGGGTTTGGATCGTATGTGTTTGTGGGTTGTCCTCTGATGGATATGTATTCAAAAGGTGGGTTGATTCACGATGCGAAACAAGTTTTTGAAGAAACTCCAGAGAGGAATGTGGCAATGTATAATATGATGATTACAGGGCTTTTGAGGTGTGGTATGGTGGAGGACTCCAGCTGGTTGTTTCATAGTATGAAGGAAAAAGATTCAATTTCTTGGACAACGATGATCACAGGATTGACTCAAAATGGTTTGTATAGGGAGGCTATTAATTTGTTCAGAGAAATGAGGATAGAAGGCTTGGCTATGGATCAGTTTACCTTTGGAAGTATGTTGACTGCTTGTGGGGGTCTACTGGCCCTGGAAGAAGGCAAGCAAGTTCATGCTTTTGTAATTAGAACTAATCACAAAGATAATGTCTTTGTAGGCAGTGCACTTGTTGATATGTATTGCAAATGCAAAAGCATAACATCTGCAGAGACAGTTTTCAAGAAGATGACCCACAAGAATGTTGTGTCCTGGACTGCATTGCTAGTGGGTTATGGCCAGAATGGGTGCAGTGAAGAAGCTATTAGAATCTTTTGTGATATGCAGAGAAATGGGATTAATCCTGATTATTATACTCTAGGAAGTGTAATTAGCTCATGTGCAAACCTGGCAAGCTTAGAAGAGGGTGCTCAATTTCATGGCCAAGCAATAGTTTCTGGCTTATTTTCTTTCACAACAGTTTCAAATGCACTTGTCACTTTGTATGGCAAATGTGGAAGCATAGAAGATGCTAATCGGCTGTTCAATGAGATGAATTTTAGGGATGAAGTTTCCTGGACTGCATTGGTGTCTGGTTATGCTCAGTTTGGGAAAGCCAATGAAACAATTGATTTGTTTCAAAGAATGTTAGCTCATGGTCTAAAACCTGATGGAGTCACTTTTGTTGGTGTTCTATCAGCTTGTAGTAGGGCAGGACTAGTGGAAAAAGGGAATCAATATTTTGAGTCAATGGTGAAAGAACATGGAATTATGCCAGTTGTTGATCATTATACTTGCATGATTGACCTTCTTAGCCGAGCTGGAAGGTTAGAAGAAGCAAGAAGTTTTATAAACCAAATGCCATTCCCTCCTGATGCAATTGGTTGGTCTACCTTACTAAGCTCATGTAGACTGCATGGTAACTTGGAAATTGGGACATGGGCAGCAGCATCCCTTCAGGAACTAGAGCCCAGCAACCCTGCAGGTTACATCTTACTCTCAAGCATATATGCTGCTAACGGGAAATGGGATAATGTGGCTGAATTGAGGAGGGGAATGAGAAGTAAAGGAGTGAGAAAGGAACCAGGATGCAGTTGGATCAAACATAAAGGCAAAGTGTACATTTTCTCAGCAGATGACCAGACAAGTCAATTTTCAAATCAGATATATGCTGAGTTGGACAAATTAAATCAGGAGATGATAAAGGAGGGTTATGTACCAGATATGAGTTCAGTTCTGCATGATGTTGAGGAATCAGAAAAGATAAAGATGCTTAATTACCACAGTGAGAGGCTTGCAATTGCATTTGGGTTGATATTTATTCCTCTTGGGCTTCCCATACGCATAGTTAAAAATCTTAGGGTATGTGGGGATTGCCATAATGCCACTAAGTATATTTCTAAGATCACCCAGAGAGAGATACTGGTAAGAGACGCTGTCCGGTTCCATTTGTTCAAAGATGGAACATGCTCGTGTGGAGATTTCTGGTGATACTGTTTTCCATGGCCAAAGTTGTAGCAGAGATCAAAACCCTTGACTGACTATTCGAATAATCAAATCACAGGATTATTGGATTAAAAATTAATTCCGCTATCAAGTGGGATATGATTAAAGCACTAGAGGGCTATCCATTTTAAACGATCATGTTCTTGAATCGTAACATTGAAAGCAAGGTACATTTGCTATGCTAGTCACCATCGTTAGTATATCCATATCAGGTAAGGAGCGTAGAAGATACACCAATTATTGCCAGGTCAAGCATTTTATATGAAAGCGGAGTTTCATTGCTTGATTTCAGTGTGGAAGAGTATCCCATGTATAACAAGAGTGATTCTGGAATTGATTCAATTCTTCTTCACCAGTCTACAATTATTGAGGTAAGGTATGATTACATGATTGGATATGTGTTTTGCTTCATACTTAAGTTACTGGCACTGCCATAATTAAGTCGAAGAATTGATATGTGTACATTGATTCCAAACATCTTATAGCATGTCTGCATGACATGTGCATGCATTGCCTGCTTGTGCACAGACACAAAATCTATGATTGTTCTGCACATTGATAGGTAATATATAAGTTTGCTACTACCCATTCCTGAGCGAGGTTGTGTACATGCTGAGTAGGTCAGGTCTAGGGGTAAACCTAATCACAAAATGAGGTTCATATCAATTGTCATAGCAGCATAATATTACTCTGTCTGTTACATGACCAGTTTCTCCAAATACGGAACCTGGATGATTAAATGTCTTTTTCCCCATTTTGTAAGTTTATTTTCCTTTTTGATTTAGTTACTTTCATATTTTCCTTTAGCCTTCCCACCTTGATCTCTTCCTCTGTCTATATTGCTTTTCTGGTTGAACTTTTTCCCCTTTTCTTATTTTATATGATTTATGTTTCTTATTCCTCTGACCTCATCATCTATATCGACATGTTACTGTGATGTATGACAGGAAAGAGATCAATTGACAAGAATATCTGCTGTTGTGCAAAAACAAGAAATGTTAGGTTTTGAGACTAAATTCTAGGGTTAAATGAGGTAAAAAAAAATGGATATTGTAGGAGTAATTAGCTTTCTATGAGCTTTGGACTGCGAATAGCATTGGAGGTGAAGAATAAAGGATTCAGAAAGTTGTTTAGAAGCAGTTCCGGTACTGTGAACAGCAGTTATAGCTGTAATTAAGGGCTTAGGGTTGAATTGGGGTGGTTGCAAAAGGTAGGTGTAATTGGGGTTTAAAAGAAAAGGTATTGGGGAATCACACCTTAGGTTAATTGCTTCACACACTCACAAGAGCAGTAATGTTGGAAAATTCTTAATAATAAGTTTCTAACTCAGCAGAAAGATCACATACGACAAGAGCAGTAATGCTGGAAAATTCTTGATAATAAGTCTCTATCTCGGCAGAAAGATCACTTACGCACACAAGATATGTATGTATTCCATATACAAATTAAATATTTTTCTGTGTGTTTGTGTTTGTATGTATATTCATTCAAGATTGTTGCTTTGGTTGATGCTTGCTATGGTAGTCAATTCCACATAGGTTCGACCACTAGTTGTCTAATGGAATTTATTAGACATGATTTTGCAGTTAGTTTACTAGAAAATCAGATCAGAATACACGACACAATTGCTCAAGTTGTATCAGAGAGAGAGCTAGATGTTGCAAAAAACTGTTGATAGAAAAATTACAGAACTATGTTATACATGCAGAGGGAGGAGGAGGAGGAGGAGAAGAATAAGAAGACTCACAAAGTTTTTGATCTTTTCAAAAGGTACATGATTATCTCATTAAATTCCGGTGTACTGCTTAATTTCATTTTATTTTGCATGGTATTTGCTGTTGCCAAATTTCTTCTGATACAAGCCATAGAAGGTATTACAATCCAGAGAAGCCAAATTATATCCATATGGGCATTATTTCTTGTATGTAACCTATATTATGTTTAAAATTTAAAAACGTGGTTTGCTAAATTTCATACTAATACAAGCCATAGAGGTTATTACAAGCGATGTTAAAGACTCAGATAATTAGACTCCGTTTATGCTGGTAAGGATAGAGAGTTTATTGTATGATGAATTCAAGAAACCACTTCACTCGAATTCTTGAGGGGATTTGCTAGAAGCTCCTTGATCTAGCTCTTGGTTCTGTATCAGATTGAAGAAAAGTTGGTTATAATAATTTTGATTAGCAATGCTACAATTTGGAAATAGAGAGTTGACAGCAATTACCTGCAATCGAGTACAGATCTCGATAACTTCAGCTACAGGAGCCCAATCCCCAAAATTCCTCTCAATAAATTGGTAAGCAATGCCAGTTCCTCCTTGGCCAACTATAAAAAGCCCACCCTTGATTTCACCTTCTCCTTTGAAGTTTTGCTCTATTCCCGTAGCTTTTGCACGTTTGTAATTTGCAATAGCCCGGGGGTTGAATACAAATCCTGATAGGAACTTATCCTTGAGTAATTTCCCACCTCCAAGAGCTTTGAAAAATCCCATAGCACGATCAAAAATTACAACCCCACCCCAATAGCGGGGCCAGAAGTCTTTTACCTGCTCCAGAAAAATTAAAATTTCAGGAAAAGAGGAGTTTATTGGAGCAAGATTTTGAATAAAAGTATGCTAGGCACCTCTGATTCTATATGCTCATGAAGAACTGCAAATATTTGCACTCCTAGTGCATCAAATATTGGCTTTTTGGCATAGAGCTGGTGAGCTTCAGCTCTGCACATGATGCACCTGTTGTCAAGTTCAACAGACACAGACAGAAAAACCAATCAATTTCATCCTTTAGATGATATAAACATAGTTTCTGTGTTAGTAAAATAAGTTACTTCCTCTACTTTCTTTTGGGGGCCAGGGAATAGGAGGCTCCTTGCAGCCAAATATCTCAGTGAGTGATTAGCATTTCTCAGGTAATCCAATACATTTAGTTCTCATCTTAGCTCCAAAAAGGGACTTACAAGATTCTACTTCCTCTTCTTTTATTTTTTTTTTCATAAATTACTATTTGTGGCCGGTGCCTATAAACTGGGTATTGATGTAATTTAATTGAAATTGTGAGAAAATCAGTTGATGAGACTCCTAGTTGGACTAAGTTTGCAATAATACATCAGATAAATGGAGTTGAAGAAACTGATGAACATGCCAAGATAAATAATTTTCTGACTTTACCCAGGTCGTCGAATGCAGAGGAGCACAGCTGGCTTATCCCGCCATAATTCTGAAGCTTTCATTGGTGGAGTCTTCGACGTCACCAAACGCTCCATCCCAATCTTATACGCAGGAGTTAATTTCTGAACTGATATGTTTCCGATAGCAGAGTAAGGCGCAACATTGTCAACCACAGGAGGAGGTTGTACACAACCACAGGCTCGAGGCTCAGCTGGTCCTGCAGCAACAATCCCTTTAAAGATGTATCCGTCTTTAATTTTGAAATCAGCGAGTGATTCTCCCAGCGACCTCTTATTGTTTGTGCTGCTCCTGCCAAAGGATTTTGCTGTATTTTGCATCTTATTGGAATTGACAGTTGCGAAATGCTTGTAGATGCTATTATTTCTGGATGGTGTACCAGTGACTTTCCTTGCAGTGAGGCCATATGATTTGGGCAGAGGATCTGCACATGGATTGGTTCTATCCGTGAAGCGTGCGATGTGCCCCCTCTTCATGCCAAACTGTGAAGATAGATCCTTAGTGCTTAAGTCAAGGAGCTCAGGCAGGATTTTCCTGGAGGCCTCTAGCCTATCTCCATATTGGAGCAGTGCACGATCATGAAGGTATGTTCTGATTTCCAGAGCATCCTGAAGTAATATAAAGAAAAGCCATATGGGTCGATTAGCTGCGTATGAGTTTATCTTTGCTTTTTTCATAAGTAGAACCAAACCTTGTTAATCTCACTGGCTCTGTGCTAATGCTAGATGTTCAAAGAAGTCAGTCATGGACATATGAATATCAAGTGAATAATTCGTTTTATTCAGAGAGCTGCAAAGATTATTCATGGGTTGAAAGCTATTTGATTAACTAACCTTTTGATGCTGTGACATGTTGATTGCATCCATGTCCTCTGAGTTCATGATCTTTAAGGTTGGGACGTCATCCCAACCTTCTTCCAATAATTTTGGAAGCAATTCCTTCAGAACCCCATTGCCAACAAAATCTTCTACTGAGAAAGAAGCCATTGCCTTCTGAAACAAGGAATGACTCAGAAGGATAAGCTCCTGTTGGTTGAACGTGTCTGGGATGGAAAAAACTGGTGTTTATCGATGTTACCCCACCCACTTGAGACCTATAATAGATCTTTGATTCATTAAAATGTTATGGTTTAATAAATATGCTTCTGATTTTGACATTGTCAATGAAGCATTGCTTTGATTTTATCCCATTCTTTATTTCAAGTTGAACTACTCCAACAAGGTTTTATTTTATCAGAATCCCCAAATTTGGAAGGCTGCTTTAAAAAATACTACTAGTAGTAATTTACTTGTAAATTGAGATCAAACCGATAGAAGAAAAGCTCCATGTAGTTTGGCGGTTTTGGATGTCATTTACGACTGAAAGCATAGTTTAATCGCTGATGAGGAAAGACAGCTTTGACAAAATTCTATGCCGTATCTTACAGATTCACTGGTTGCTGGCATGTCAAGTGGCTTAACGGTATATCATATTAGGGAGAATGGAAGCTAGCAGACAACAGCTAGAAGCGAGAACATTGCTTGGAGACGGTCAAAAGATGCCAACAGAGAATTGAGGGGAAACAAAGATGGAAAGATCAGGGTTAAGGTATCATTGACCAGATGCTTTGGACTTTGAAAAGAAGGTTTATTATATCAACGATAACTATATTCAACAGCCGCTGACCACCGGCCAAGCCCCCTGCCCTGTAACAATCTAAAACATTGTCTACATATGATTATATGTCCAACTTGCGATGGCTAATGTCCCCTGGATTCACAACCAACCCAAGACCAGGATTTGAGGAGCTCTGGATGCAGCAGGACGTTAAAACGCTTGCCTATTTTACGAAATGCCTATATAAAATTTTTCCTTGACCTACCTTGATGTGAAACTTGTTATTATTATAATCTTAGAAGAGAGTCGTAAATCTTATATCAATTACGTATTAGAGTGAGATTGATTATTTAAATATTCGCACCACTTTCAATTGTGAGATAAAATCATGAGATTCAATAAGTCAAAACGAACAATACTTTATAAATTAATGTAAATTTTGATATTTTGTATCATAGTTGATTTTTTTTTTTCTTTTGTGAAGCAAAATAATGTCTTTTAAACCAAAATAAACAATATCATACCTTAAAAGATTGGAATAATTCGTATAATTAAGTAATGGAAGATGTTGTCATTATGACTTTTCAAAGTAATAATAAATGATATCTTGGGTTGTTCTTAGTACTCGTATTCCTATAGTCAAGCCAAATTTCCCAGGCTAAATGAGTTTCTGGTTTGGCTCATAAAGTTGATTGTCCTGTACCAAGCAAATCTGTCGTCTCCGCTAGCAAATAAGATTGTAGTCTAGGGACTTAGTATAGGACAACTTGGTAGAGTATGTTTATAGCGTAAAACTATGGGTCCAACTGCTCAAGATGGACAAACATAAAGGCTGGCACTGGGATGCTGCGTGCCACATTTTTCGCCTGTCTGGGACCACTTAAAACCTTCTGCAAGTTCTCACCAAGGGGATAGAAAGAACTCCAAGGGGTCCACATTTTCTCCAACCACCAGAAAGAAAGAAATGGTAACGTAAATTAAGTTTTCATTATGTTCATTCCGTCACAACTTAGAATGCCTGATACATAGGCATATCTTTGACATCAAAACTGGAGAGAACTTCTTACATGGTGTAATAAGTAGTTGATGGACTCGGCATCCTGTTTAAGTGCCTTAAAATCTTCTCAGCCATCTGCCTCGTCTTTCCATCCCCGTGATGGAAAGCACTAACCAATGAGGCAGGCAGCAACCTATCCTGTGATATGTCTGAAGCTGACTTATTCCCACCTTTCACTAGGAACTTTTCTATCATCCAAAATGATTTCTGCCACAGCCCCTCTTGCCTGTGCTCTTTCACCACATTCAAGATATGTTGAATGGCATTTATTTCACTCAAGAGGCTCACACTCTTGTCCACATCAACCTTGTCATCCAACAAAGTACATATAGCTGCCAGTGAAGCTTCAACCACCTCGCCATTCTCATGATCCAGGCATGCCAACAACCTTTCAACGGCCTTCGCATCAATCAAACAAAAGGTGTCTTGCGAAGAACAAGAACCTCTATGAACTGGACATACTGGTATCTTTCTCCTTATTGATGAACTGGAAGATAGGAACCTGGGGAGGGAGAACATTTTCGTAAACTTGGTTTTCTTTATTTGTGGTGGCTGTGACAGATTTATTGACTCTAGTGAGAGATTCTCCAGTCCAATTGCTGATAATTTTTGAACTTCATCACTAGATGTCTTCATGAGCAGTTCTGTGAACACTGATGTGAGGTTGTAAGTTCTTGCAAGAAACAAGATTTGTGGTTCGTACAGTGTAGTTGTGAATCTGACAAGAATGCCTACTAGGCTCTCTAAGTAAAGAGTTGCATGCCTGCTAGTTCTTGTTCCACTTCTTTGGATTTGAAAGATTCTCTGAAGGATCGTGGGGACAACATTCCTGTTCAGAAGAGCAAGGTTGAGTGTTAGGTTCTGGTGGGGGAGTTTTGACAGGAATTTTGCTGAAACTGCCTGCTTCTCTGTAATGTGGTTGGTTTCAGTCGGGCTCTCAATTAAATTCTCAGGTTGCCCCCTGGTTTTGCAGAGTCTCTCTGCTAGTGTGTTACCAACATGCGGTGCAAGGGCAATGAGTAGTTTGATTGCTGCAACCCCAAGTTGTTCGTGTGGGTTATTGATGATTTCAATGAGGCTATAGCTTGCTTCAGTCTCATTGACAACTGAAATAATTGTTGCCATTGGCTTGGGTGACTTTGTCAGGCATAAGAGTATTCTGATGAGATTGATGTTGAGCTCATCTGGGGTTGAGTTTTTAAGCATGTAGATAATGTTATAGACAACATAGTCTGAGCTTATCCTGAGGCCATGAGTATTTACTTGGATGTTGTCATGCTCAACCCCTGACTCAAGAATATTTGCAAGTATTGCAGCAGCTTCTTTCTTTGAGTTCATTGGTTCATCATATATTCTTCGAATGAACAACTCTTCGGCCATAATGTTGACAATACCAGCTTCTACAAGTATCCCGCCATTTGGATGATAAGATGAGATTTGTGCTAGAGCCTTAAATGCAGCCTTTCTGATAATGGAGTTTCCGCTTTGCACCATTTTCATGAGACTCGGAGAAGCCCTCTCAGCCACATAGGTTTCGCTGTCATGTCCAAGAATGATTTCCCCCAAATAGTTTGCCATCTCCATCTGCACCTCCTCGGAACCTGTTTATAATATATTTGTAACAGTAATCAGCATAGTTGTCTAAAGGCTAACTGCTCTTAATATGTAGTTTAGAAATAGTTCCCTTGAAATATAATTATCAGCCAAACACAGCTGTAATTTTCTTACTCGGAAGAAGGTCTCGAAAAGATCTTTAAATTACCTTCTGTAAGATGATTTAAAAGAGGTTCCAAGAATCCATACTCTGCCATCTGCTTTATGTTATCTGGATATCCCTCCAGGTTCTTTAAAATTTCATCTGCTCTTTCTGAAGCAAAGGAATCAACATTCCGATTGTATTTAATTCTGATCAGCATCAAAATTGCTCCAGTAGCTGAACCAATTTTTTCACCCAAAGCTTGAGATCTTGAAAGCTCAAGCAAGAACAGCAGAGATGCATGCCGGATTTGCTGGTGGCTACTTGATAACAACTCAATTATTGTTGATATATCCATAGTCTTAGCAATCATTTCCTGCACAAAACATAACTAAAATGGTGCATATCTCCAGGGAAAATTTCTTTTGAAGTCCTATTTTGTTCTCTATAGAATGCATATGCCAACTTAAAATTTTAGTGCTTATTCAAAATTTACTAATAGAAGAGGGCTGGACATTGGTATTAGACATATTACAGTACAAATATTCTTTTTTTTTTGTAACAGAAGTTCCACCTTAAGATCAGGCATATTGCATATGTTTCGGTCAGTATCAATATGGACTAGATTATGGATATATATCTACCACTCTGGCTACAATCATGTTGTAATGTTGCCTTTTTTTTTTTTTTGGTTTAAAATAAAAAGATCAGGAAATAATAAGAATCAAACCTTTCCTTCATCATCTTCCTCAACCAGTTGTCGTAATAGCTCCAAAGCTGCACATCTAATATCTCCATCTTTGTATCCGAGGAACTTAATAAGCAGTGGCAATATTCCAACACTGAGTACATGTACCTTATTATACTGTTTCCTTTGGCATATATGCTGCAAATCTCTTATTGCCTCTAGGATCATGCTATCTGAACTAGCTAAAGTTAATGCTGCACGGGCAACCTTGATCCTTGCAGCCTCATTCCTATCCTTCCATTCCTCTATTGTGGTCTTTAGAGCAACATTGGTGCTTAAAACTCTGCTTGTCAGCTTCTTCCCTGTGGTTGGACATACTTTATCCTCCAGATGATCGAACATTTCAAACCAATCCATTATTGCCTCCCTCTCATAGGTCACTCCACTTTCTATGGTAACTGGATCGTCCATAATCTGCTTAGTTAATGGACAGAAGAAAGTGTCATACAGAGGTTCGATGTAGTGAGCCACCTGTGGCAATGTTGTCAAGGATTTGTTTATGTTCTCATGTTTCCATTGGCTTCTCTGACTTGTAACTTTAAGGAAATCAATTAGGCGTGGCATAGAGAAAATTTGAGAACTTTCTGAAGTGACAGAGACGTCCACATTGACAGAGTAAAGATCTGATTCTATGGGCATTAGTTCCTTTTCAGGCTGCTCTGATGCAAAAGACATCTGTAGTTCTAGCTCTTTGGTTTGTACTACTTGAGGTTGCTTAACTGCAAAGTGGACATTCTGCATTTCCTCAGAAAGAGACTGGACTGCAGTTTCTGCATATTTCTCACCCCCATATGTTGCAGACGGTATCAAGCACAAACATTCACCTATGTCTTTTACCGCCCCTTCTAGCTGGGCTATGATGTATCTCAGTTCAGTATCTGAGACTGGATGGTTCTCTTTATGGCATTTTTCCACAAGATCTTTCGCCAGATTGACATTCTGGGAAAGAGATTGTAGAATCTCCTTTGTATTTTTGGGGGTATTCTCAGTATACTGTAACTCCATTATGGCTGGAAAAACTCGATAAAGGTAGCATCCCACTGCAATAAAGTTTTCCTGCTCTACTTCTATACATGCTACTGATTCTATGATTGCTGAAATAGCTTCCAACAAGGATTCAAAAACACTAGCAAAGGAAGTGTTGTCTATCTGAAAAAAAAAACAGAAGAAAAAAGTGAGATGTTTAATCAATAAAGCTTCGTCAATATGCATAGTCCAGGATATTGTCAACTCATTCATGCATTTTTCATGACCTGACAGGTATTTTCTTCCATCGTGCTTCACTTGTCTGACAAAAATTTGAACCTCACTCTGAACTTTGGTGGTTCTATTTATATCAGTTAAAAGAAATGTTAGCTTATTACAAACTTAAGGAAACTCAAATGAAGAAAAAGATCTTGAGTAATTCCATGAAGGATTTAGCATGCTCAGAGGTTGTGAGATAGTAGAAATCAGTCTTCCAAATCTAAGCAGCTGATGCATTCCTTTCTCATGCTGAATCTATTGAATCGATAAATTCTGCTAGTCTGCTACTCAGGTTGAAACTTGCAGCTGAACTATTCATGGACTGCTTTGAGAATTTCACTATGCAGTAAACAAAATAAATAGACATATATTCTTGGAAAGAGACCTTGGTACTTCATAGAATCATCTCAATAAATTCTTACTAGGAAAGTTTTCCTATTAAGTTCCTGTCTTACAAAACAAATGATAGAGTTTACCAGGAAAAGCTTGTGCAGAGTACGAATGGTCAAGGTTTACAATTCGAGTTCAATAGTTAAACTAGAAATTACAATGAAATGGAAGAGAGCAAAGACTTGTACCGACATCTAACCGGAGCTGCAACCTCCAAGGATCCTCCTGTAGGGTATTGAGCTCACCTTGCAGAATCTGAAAGACTCAGGTGGGGATGAATGAGGTTTGAAAAAAATGAAGTAGCTCATTGAATTAGTCTCTTCTCTATGGTAGTTTAACATATATCCTTCTGTCATGTTATTATCCTGAAAGTGACCAAATCCCTCAGGACTTGTGCTTTAATTCTTGACATCAAAAGTCAAAACTCTCTATGTTATCATCTCTATGTACTTATTGGTGTAATGTCTTCCAAATAAAGCGAAAGGTAAAAAGGAGAAAGATTAGTGGATTAAATATAATAAAATAATGGATTAACTGGACAATTTTGAAAAGTCAGTTGATTGCAGAGATGAATGGAAAGATTTTAAGATCAAGTTGATGGATTAAAGCCTTCAAATAAGCAATTCATTGAAACTTAGAGTGCAAATTTGATTTTCAGATCAACTCAAATAGTTTTGATCATGGCATCTATTGAAATTCAAATGATATATATATATATATGTCTTCATGCATAAATATGGATGGACACTTTTAGTTTGACAAAGGAAACAAAAGATTACAACACGGCAAGACATAAAGACTCTGTCAGCTCCATGACTGGACATTAATGTTGGAAGAATTGAACATGTTTATAATTTTTTTTTTTTTAAGTTCTCTTTCATAAAGAAGGCCTCCAAGCTTCAATAGGGTTACCTTGTTCAGGGCAAAAAATTTATATTTTATAATGATTATCAATAATTATATTTAAATTTGACGTAATGATTATTATTTTTCTTAATAAAATTTAAATGTAAGAATAGAATCTTCATTTTCTCTTTATATATCTGATATATACCAAAAAAAAATACGACAATTCACAATGACATAAAATATAATTAAATTAAAATTCAACGACTTGTATTGTCTTTTTGGCAATCAAAGGTATTGGCCCAACTTCTTCTTGGAATGCAGACTTGCTCTGAGGGATAAGACTATGGCCTTGACTTTCAGTACCCTGTTAAGATTAATAAAGAGAGTAGTTGGACTGTTACATCTTCTTTGCTTTTGGTAACATATATATATAGTATATGGTATGATGGGTTTAATGGTAGATTAACCAATAATGTTAATCAAGTTAAATCAACATGACAAGGGCAAGAAAGCAGCCTCTATGTGAATGCAATTTTGCAGTAATTTTTTACTGTGTTTTTCATTTTATATTTTGATGGCAAAGTTGGAAGTACGGCTATTGCCAGTATCGAATTACTGGCTTACTGCCTTTGCTTTTCACTCTTGTGATTTCAGGTTGTTTCGTTTTCTGTTTCCTCCACCATTACTCTTCCATTTCCCCCCCTATATTCACCCCCTTTTTCTTGTTGCTTTGCATCTTTTGGGACAGGGTCTTTGTAATCAAATTTATTATAATTCGGTGGTGGTTGACCTAACTTTTTTATCATTTATGATAATTGCTATCACAATCAAACCATGTCCAATTTATAGCAAAGAAGAAGCCCACAAACAACCCACAATAAATGAGTACAAGGCCTACAGAGCCGAAACATCCTCTAATTAATTGTTGCTTTATAATTTTGCTACTTCAAACTTTTAAAGTTAGAAGTAATCAAGTAAAAGACTACAAAGCAGATTTGAAGGTAGGAGTAAAAAGAATAGATTTAATCCTTTTACTATAAATAGAAACTTAGTTTCAATTCAAGGAACAAGAATCAATCTCAGGCTCTACACATCTTAAACCTATCTGTCAGGTGAATTAAATTTAGAACAAACAACAAACACACTCATGATCCCTGCAATAGCTTCCCTTAGCCTGGAGAACCATGGAAAGACCTGCTTCCATGCCTGCCATGATTTGTGGCTCTCATTATTGCTAAAAGATCGAGAATCCACATGCTTCATTGAAGCTTCCGTCCTTAGTCTGTGGATCACTTCCTCAACGGGTTCTGTACAGCTTAAACCGTATTGCCTTTGCTTTAAGACCATCAGAGCAGTTCTTTGCCATTCCTTTTAAACTAGTGTGTGTCAAAATTATGAAGCCAACTTCAAGTGTAGGCAATGAATTTGAAGGGAATCTCCGGCTAAAACTGTTTGTTTTGTATAACATATATACAGAAGTACCCACAGGACAATGGTTGTTGCTGGCACCCTACACGTGATACTCAATTCTGCCCTTGCTACTTGATTGGATGCAAAGAGCTTGCCTTGCACAATCTCATGTCTGTGGTGAAAGAATAAATGAATGCCATCATATGTCACTCAGCGACAGGCAGAGGGATTTGAATTTAAGAAAACATCACGAGCATCCGGATAAAGCTAGTTGAAGAAATAGGGAGACTCTAGAACCTCTCTGAGATCAAAGTCTCCCCGCCCTGGTAAGGGCGGAAAGTCTAATGAAGGGAAGGACTTCTGAAAGCTTTCCAACAACTGTAAGCACAAATAAATCAAAGCAGTCAGCAAAATACATAGCCCAGCAAATGCAACAGATGTGCATTTCGGCTCAAGAAAATTTTTTTCCTACATCTAATCAAAGATATTTGAATTCTGATAATGGCACTTCCAGATAAACAAAACTCCTGATGTTATACACAAATATGAATAACAACTTTACGGATATTCAAGTCCCTAAAGTAAAGCTACAGCTAAGCCATTTCTCTTTTTACATTTTTCAAGAATGTGTTTACATGAAATCACAATCAATGAAACTTCAGAAAAGGTATGAAAGAAAACAGGTAAATACTACCACCTATTACTAGTTCAAAATTGTGTTTTATGTATTCGTACTGATCTTTAGATGATTATTTAGAAATTTGACAATGTCTTTGAACTCCGTTGTTTTTTTTTAGTGTTTCACTTGAATTTGGCAGACAGACTACATTTCACAAAGAAAGCCTCTTAAATACAAATTAAGCCATACAGAACCCAGGGGCAAAGGTACATTACATTCTCTAGTATTGGTGCCTCATAGAGTTCAACGAACTTTTCTCTTAGTATCCTGTTCATTTCATCAACATCACACGCATGTGTCCAGTATGAATCATGGACCCCTGTGAAAAGACATTAGCATTGAACATTTTAGACTTCCTCAAATACACAAAGATAACAGCACATGCATGTAATAAATATCACACAGGAAAATTCACTAGACCTGCAAAATTCAAGCCCGCCTTTTTGCAGGCAACAGCAGTCATCATCATATGGGATCCATCCAGGGAGTGAACAAAATTTGGGGGAAATGCTGTTCTCTGCCGCTTAGCCATAACCTACAATCACAGTTGGTGATTTCAGCAGCCTCCAAAGTAAGGTACACATGGCAACATTGCAATGGGATATGAACGAGCAACCTAAAATTGCACTGATTAAGTAAATGGGTTCTTGCAGTGGACATTTAATCCAACAGTTACTCTCTTTTTATGCAACTACAGATGTGTTGGATTTGTTTGAAGATCATAAAAGCAATGCAGTTAAGCTTTGAATTCTAACACAAGCATTTATATTGAACAGCGAACAAAACCAGAAAAGAAAAGAAGTGTGAGAAACAAAAGGCTTAACAGACCTTTTTGGTTCAATCATTTACACTGATATAGCTGTAAGTACAATCGGAAGCTTACAAGGTAATTCTTAACCACACTTGGGTGCTGTACTAAATTAGCTAGTAAAATAAGCATGAAGTACATGACAGCAAGCAGCTATCACATAGCAAAAACAATGCTACTTAGACTTTGTATCTGATGACTTGGCTGACCATAGTCTTCAATGCAAATCTTAATTCAACAAGATGAAGCAAGAATCTCAAAATATTTGGTAACCTTTTTTTTTTTTCTAAATAATACTCAGCAACCTTAATGTTTCTTCATCAAATTACCTTGTCACAGATAGAGCAATGCAAAAAATTACCTTGTCAGTTTCTCGTTGTAGAGTCAACACCTGAAGGGAAGTTTTAATCTGCACAAATTTAAAGCATCAAAAATGTTATAATGCTTTCTTTCAGATTTACAAGGTGAAAAATTTTAAAGTTAAATAATGTCTCGGAGCATTACAAGATGCCGTCCTAATTGCCGGTAAGGCTGTACAACAGGAAGACCAAGAGGAGTGACCCATCGCACTGGCTGATTCTCAGAAGATATAACCTGTTTATACACAGTCTGTCAGCATTTCGAAGTATGCTAGAAAAATTATAGGTAAAAACAAAATCAAGATAATATTCCATGAGTCCATGCTTTAAATGCTCAAGTGCAATGACTGAGTGTATCACACAGCTGTTAAGACAGAAAGCTAATGTATGACCAAATTTCTCACATCACCAAACCCCTAAAACTACACACACACACACACACACACACACATGCATGTTAAAAGGAAGCCACAAAAACATATTAGTAGGGTGTCACCAATTGAATTAGATATTGTCTAAATAAAAAGGATACCCAATCTGAATTATTTAATTAATCTCACAGAAGCTGCCACCAATACTAGCCAAATTAAAGATTTACATACATTCTCTAAAAATTGTTTTTAGAATTAGTTCAATGTACTTGAAGTACTTAGGATTTAAGTCTAGAAATAAAAGTGCCAAACCAACGAACAAAACATGATACATTAAAGTCCAACAAATGCACTTTCTAAACCTAACAAAAATTCTGAATCCCTAAAACAAATTACCCCACAATTCAAATCATGAAACCCTAATCCTAAGAACTCAAAGCACAATCTTTTCTTCTTATTTTACTTCGAATCCACTTTTCTGGCCTTCTAGCTTGCAGGATACATCATAAATTCATAAATCTGTCCGTAGAAACAAGCCATATGCTAACTTCTGAGCTATTAATTGCCATCATTCACTATGTAAGTACGAAAAGAAAACATTATATAAATAAATGACAGACCTTTGCACATTCACCAAGCCAGTTCATGATACTTCTTGCAGCTTGAAACATCTCTCCCAGGGCAGTCAAGGTGGTCTGCACATACATGAATGATTGAGTTAAACCTTAATCAGACAGTGATACACCTGCATGTATGCACACACAAAACAATTTCCTCACTCTTGCTGCATAGCAAGATGCAACAAACATTTCTGTATCATCTGCAATAGCGCATCGCTCCTTCAACCTTCTCTTGATCTGGTCACGGGCACCAATATAAGTTACACCATACACTGAGGTCATCACAGTCTGCTTCACCAATTTCCGGTCAACCTAAATATTTGAAATAAATTTGAAGTAGTGAGAGCTGTAAATTTGAAATAGTGAAGGTAAAATATCAGTAAAAAAATACACACAAGTGGAAGCTATAAAACTCCTGAATATAAGCGTATGCATTCCAATTTGGCCAGATGTAAAAATTGGATTAACAAAATCCCAGAACCTACTTAGTTGAATAATTTTCATAGATTGTCCCCTTATTCATCCAACAAACAGAAAAGAAATGACACAAACCTGATTGATTAGAAGCCGAGCATGTAATGCATGAGGATTTGTTGCAGGATCTTGCTCTGCATCTCGCCTCATAATATCAACAACTCTGCACCAGAATAGCAAATTGATATAGATAACTCTATGAGAGAATATAGCTTTGGTAAACTCAAAATTCCAAGATGATTTTTATGCAAGTTTGAGGAAACAATGTAAAACATTCATCTAATCAAGCAATGTAATGCATGAGGGTTTGTTGCAGGATTTTCTCTGCATCTCTCCTCATAATATCAAGAACTCTGCACCGGAATAGCAAATTGATATAGATAACTCCATGAGAGAATATTGCTTTGGTAAACTCAAAATTCCAACATGGTTTTTATACAAGTTTGAGGAAACATGGTAAAACATTTATCTAATCAAGCAAAATAAGCAAATCATACACTTAGTTGGACAGCCTGCGTGCAGAAATAGTTGGATATGTAAATTCACGATACAACTCCATTAATGTGAATTCCTCCAAGTCCCCAGAGATGGACTCTGCCTTTGCACTCAAATGTCAATAATTTAAGGCAGTGTAATGCAAAAATGTAATGCATTCTTAATCAGGATTGAAGTTTTATGTTTTGATCCATTTCCAAAAGCATTTCAGCTAAAAGTTCCAAATTTCCAACTTCTACGCATAAAAGTACCTTTCGCTGGAGAAACTTTAGACTATTGTCTTCTTCTAGATTGCACATATCCCAAATAGAATAATTTTAAGCACAAATTAATGTCCCAGCGCCAAACCATACTGCATAGACAGATATTGATGCAGGACATAGTTAGGCTAGTCCGCCTGCTTGGCATATATGGCAGGCTATAATTGCAGAAATTTGGGATTTTAGGATATATGCATATGGTAGGAATTATAGGAAAATTAAAGGAATGAAAAACCATGATCTTAGCCTTTGGCATTCCAAGAATTAAGACCCATAGAACCCAGCTTTTGAAGCACCATTAGCTAGCATTTACATACACACCCAAATTGTTGAGTCTCCTGCCCCTATGCATGTGGCAGAGAGGACTAGAGAGAGAAAGTAATAATTACCGGGCAGCAATTCCTGAGTAGACATCAGCCGGTTTCTCTCCTGCGACGAGATTCACTGAAGCTGCTCCCAACTGAAAGCCAAAGCAATTCAATTAAAATACAAAAGAAAAAAAAAGCACAATCACAAATTTAGTCAATCATACAAATAATTCATTCACTATATAGATATGTTGCACATTCAATTAACATGAAAAATAGACTACTGTAATTAATAAAATTTTAATCAACTAATTTACTGACATTTCACTTGTTATAACTGAGGATGCCATTCTATAAAAAGAGTGAGAACGAAGTTACACCCTAGGGATAAAAAACCAAAACAAGAATCAACAAGTCACATGTTTGGATGTACTTGAGCTTTTTCTCCCCTCTAACCTCTGCAAATCCTTCACATCCCTCACCTCTATTCCCATACTCTAACTCTTCATAGGATTTTTACTTTGAAATCTAATTAACAATACAATTAAGAGCATAATTGGAATAAATCAATAGCTAATGCTTTTCGCTTTTAGTAAAAGACAAACAATTTGAGACATCCAAATTTGGTAAAGATGGATAGAAACATTGGAATAAAGTATAAAAAAGAGAAAAGTGCATTACCTTATCCCTTCCGAGGGCAGCATAATGTTGTAAACCATTGCATGAACCATCCTTAAAGGAATTAAGACATAAAAACCCAATGGTATGCTTCAGACAATTGAAATATGATGAAATACTCAAAGCAGAGTCACATTAATTGATCCTCAAATCCATGAAAAAACAGCACAATTACAATATAATAAATTAATACAAGCATTATTTCTTATAGCTAACAGTATCAACCAATGGCATAGAGCAAATACAGTCTCATATTACAACACAGTGACAGTAATCACAACTAATCCAGGATGGAGGCTATTGCATCCACAAAGAATATACCTCCAAGGTCTAGAGAGCAGTAACAAACACACACACGTGAGTGTGTGTGTGTACGTATATGTATGTTTCCAGGAACATTTGACTTCTCAACAATGAAATTAGCAGATAAATAAGAAATTCAGTACCTCAATTTTTAATTTTGCTAGGGGAAAAATACCTGGTGCACAGGCATGTGCGAAATAGTGGTCTCTGGGGACGAACTTCTCAATGCTTCAGAGAGATTAATACATGCTGCCAAACATTGGAAGGGGTCCTCTGCACTCAACCACCAGCGCCTTCCTTCAAGAGGTCTGTCTGCTGAATCAAAGATATCATCCAAATGGTTCTCTGTAAATGCTATTCGACCCTCATAGGACAACTTGTCCACTCCTCCAGCATACAAATTTGCCAAATGTATTTTCAGCCAGCGTAAGCCTGATTTCCCAAGGGGGCGCCCCTCTGCAAACTCCAAGACACCTCGACATAGATCAGAGCCAAGATGATTTAGATATGGGTGCATAGGATATGCCCGGCCTCGAAAATCAAGGTTGTGTGGGTAGTAGAAGCCATCCTCATCCCTCATCTTTCGAGCCACCTATCTCCAACAGGAAAAAAAACGTTCAAATGCCATATATCAGAACATGATATAACACTAGGTAAATGTTATTGTTTAAGGCAGCTTCTTACAGCAAGTTTAAGTTCAACATCACACCGCAGTGAATGCCTTTCATTATTCAGCTTGTTGGCAGCCTTTACTTTCCACTTCCATTTTTGAATTTCTGCTTCATCTTCAGTGTCTGGCTTCTCAGGCAGAGGAACCTGATTAAAATTTAAAACATAAAAAACAAAAAGTTACAGAAGATCATTAACTTGGGAAAAAGAAAGAACAGCATTGCAGATTTTAATATTTCAGCAGCAAAAAAAAATAAACTTCACATCAAATCGAATGAATTTCTCCCCTTTAAAAAACAAAAAAAAATAAAGAAAAAAAAGAACATAAACCAGTAAAAAGAAAATCAAATTCTGCTTATTTCACAGGTACCCACATCTTCACGGTCAACCAAGCTTGCAATACGGCCTCCATTAGCCCATAATCTGTCAACTACACCAAGAACCCTTTTATTTATCCTCCATTTGGTATTTCCTAGTGTATCCAGGGCCTGATGCACAAGACAATAAAAGAATCATTGCAATAATGGAGAAAGGCTACATCAAACAGTAATATAAAGTTGGTGAGCAACAACAATTCATTGATCTTGTTTTCATATTAAAAGAAATGTCAAGAACAAATTGCCAACACTTAAAAAAGTACACATCATAGAGATAAACAATAAATCTTAAGGATTTCAAACCTCAAAAATAGGCTCTAATTGTTTCCTTGGAGCTCTTTTAACAGTTTCACGTTGTTGTTTTGCTCCATGTGTTCGCATGACATATGATGGCAAAAACAAATATGCACCTCGATCATACCTGCCAAAATATCACAGAATATATCAGAGATAAACCAGTGAATAGGAACTGAACAGAAAAGTATATAGAGCTGTTTCAAGTCGAGAGAGCAATTTCCTTTTATAAAGATATTTAAAATAAGCTGGAATAAGTAGGGACCAAGCTGTCAATATATCTGAATGATTGGGGGTGATCGAAGAAGCAGGGGAAATAAACTGTATAAAGATATAACTTCAAGTTCATACCCTGTCCAGTTTTGAGGAGGCACTAACATCGGCATATAAGGAATTACCATGTGCCTAGCCTGATTGCAGAAGCAGAGATTAGTTCATCCATATACCTCAAAGAACAGAGATTTACTCAAGGGGGAAATTTTTATGAATGAAATGCTTGTTGAGCACCATTTCTTAAAGACTATTTTTTGCTCCACTTACAGTTTTCTCAAGACCTTTGCGAACTAGTAGATCACATTCAATGATACCATATCTCCTGCTGCCTTTGCTGATGAAGAATAAACACAAAAATAAATACTCTGATGTGAGTAATGAGTGACTGAGTTAGAAGTGAAAAGTGAGAGAGAGAGAGAGAGAGAGAGAGGAGAGCAAATAAATATAGATGCAGTTTCTCACTTTCCATCTTTGGTGATAGTTTTTAGAGAATGTACAAATGCAGGGCGAATATCGGGTGGACCATCTCCTAACTGATCAACTGGTGGTTGTATATAGGCATTTTCAATCAATAACTGAATCAGACGGCAACCAACCTATAAGGGCAACACCATCATACAACATTACGAACAGGGCAAAACCAGAACTGATTTCAACATTTTACAACTGCAAACATCAAATACCTTAACATGAGCCTCCTGGCCCCAAGACTTTGAAGTATCATGCCCCTTCACGATTTTCCTCACCTGATGCACCTTTTGCTTTTTAATCAACTGAGTCACCTTTTTCCTCAGTTTTTCCTGGTCTTTGGCCAGTTTCTCTTGTTTATTGGTCACAGGTTCAGATTCACCATCAGGTTTTTTATCCCTTGTTTTCTTCTTCTTTGCCTTATCCAAGAAGCTCTGTATTTTGGCCTGATCCACACAGGAGACAACCATAGATAAGTTCTCAGCAAGAAATAGAAATGAATGCTCCTTGAGTATAAGGCACAAAAATATCATATATATCTAAAATAAGCAGCTTATCTTGCATTTTTAAGCAAAAAACATTAAAGTCCATGTCCATTAAAAGTTAATGGAAGAGCATCCAAAACCTCAGAGTTTCAACATGTACCCAAGTACCTTTCACAATAATCAATTTCCTCCATAAAACCTTGATATAATAATAAAGCAAAGTAAAAATTTCTGTGGTGAGTGGGCTTTTTTCCACTCAGATTAAGTTGCCAGAATGTATGTCATTCAGAAATTCTAAAATTCTATCATGTGAAGTGGAGAAACGATTTTTGCTAATAATTTTCAGTTCTACTTCATTTCCACAGCAAACTGTCCTATGAAAGACAACAACTATTCAAAGGTTACCAATCATTTCGTTAAGTTTTAGAAATTGACCCACCAATCACAACATTGAATCTATAACTGAGTTCTACTTCACTAACATATGAATATTTTGAAACAATAGAATACTATAAACTCCAGCTATAATGTTATATCATGTGATCAACTGAAAAGCTTTTACCAAGGCTCGCAGTTTTCTTAAATTTGTCCACCACAGATTCACATTTATATCAAGATCACATACTCCTCCAGATTGCTATATTAAGAAAACGAACTCACTAAATCTAATGCAGTCAACCCAAGAAAAAGAAAAATGATAAAGTTGAAGTTATAACCTGCTCACCTCGTGTTCAATGGCTTCACCAATCTGGCAAGCAGCTTGGACGACCCTTATACCCCCAGTTCCAGCAGTATTAGTCATCAACAGTCCCATCAATTTGTGCATAGTAACAACCGCCATCATATCAGCAGACAACTCGTTAAAATAAGCAGCATGACTTATCCTGCAATTTTCCTTGCACAACTCTTGCTCAGCAACAATAGAATCTCTCAAAGGCTCAAACCAACCGAGAAACAATGACTTAATATAAGGCAAATTTGGAGCAAGCTTGTGCTCACACATATCCATTAGTAATTCTTGGTACTCTTTAGCTGCCTCTTCCCATGCCTCAGTCTCGATCTTTATTTGCCTCTTCTTTAACGTATTGTACTTTGCTACCCCCATTCCTCCTGCCACTTTCTTAGGTTGCAGTAAAAAAGACTCTTTCTTCTGTTCTCTTGCCATTGCTTCCATTAATTCATGGATTTCTTCAGACCCCGACATGTCCTCTTCAGTAGAAATAACAGCCTCAGCAGCACTTGCATACCCTTTCAAATTCCAAAATTTCCCAGAAAATCTTAAAGGGTTACCTGGTTGATTCAAACTGAATTTGCCCAAATCATCCTTTTGAGAAGAGAAGACACCAATTTGGCGACAACCCGGAAATAGGAACCCATAAAAACCGTTGACTCTGGCCTCGGAAGCCCTAACTTTATCGGCAAAAACTGAATCCAGAGAAAACCCTGTAGCAGAACATGAAGAAAGCGAGCAAGTATATGGTTCAGCGACAAATTTGAACTTTTCCCTGTAGGCAGCTTGTTTAACTAAGCTTCTCCACATGCTTGAGCTATGCTGTTGTTGTAAATAAACTGCTCCAATCCAAAGCTGAAAGATATAATAATTGCGCAAAAGAAAAGCTTTCTCTGGATTTTCCTCTTCTTTTTCTATGAAAACAAGGGAAATAAATTGAAAAAGAGTCCAAAATTTTGAGGCATTGAGTAAGGAGAAGAATGAATGAAACGAAAGATTACAGTGAAATGGTGAGATCCTAGAAGAGAAACATTTCGGGAGGTGATGTAGCCGCCTTTAAACCCTCCTAAAAACCTATGCCTTCTCTGTTTTTGCTATAATAAAAGTTCCATGGGTTTAACAGCCCACCCGTTTCCTTAATTGGGGGTAACCCAAACAGCCCGTTTTCCTATACTATTATATTTAGCAGTTTATCAAGTTTTATTTTAAAGTCCGTTTGTTTTTTTTTTTTAATTTAAAAGTTATTATAAATTTTTTATAAAAAAAATAATTTTTAAAATTAAATTAAATCTATTTAATAAATTTATTTTTATAAGTACTTTTTTATAAGCAAGATATTTGACAAAACAGTCTATATAAATTTTAATTTTAGTTAAAATTATCATAATAAGTATTTAATAAATAACTTTCGATTAACCACTTATTCCTTTAATCACAATGCAAAAAGAATTAATTTTTTATTTTTTAAAATAAATTTTAAAAAATATAAAAAATATTTTATACTACATAAAATTTATAATTAATAATAAATCATTAAAAAATAAAAATAGATGATGTGGGGATTAATTTTAATAGATAAGGACATTTTTTAAACAAAAAGAAAAATTCTACTAAAAAGGAGATATATTTTAAAAAAAAGATGAAAAAGTTCCTCTCTAAAGCTTTGCTTAAAGCTTTTTTTTCTTAAATTTTGTTTTTAAAAAAAATTTTAAGAACTACTTATAATTTTTATTTAAGCCAACTTATATAGATAAGTTGAAAAAAAATCAAACCAAACGAGCATTAAAAGAAAATACCCTCACCTCCTAACTTTTAGTTATAATTTTATTATGAATTTATTAATTTTTAAAATATACTGTCCATTTTAAAAAAATATTTTTCGTTAGATACGTAAGTTCAGTAATTAATCCATCATTAATATTTTTATTAAATTAATTACGTAATAATATTAAAAAGATAATTATATTTTTTATTAATTTTAAAAACTACCCCAATATGTAAACTATAATTTTTCATTTTTTTCTTATTAAAAGAGGAACCTATCCCTTACCTGTTCCCTAACTGGAACGTCAAAAATGACTCCAACCGAGGAGCACCAGATTCGATCGGATCTCCTTCCCCTCGCTCTCCACACCCCCCCTTTCACCCCCACTCTCCCTCCCCATGGGAGCTCGAGATCTACGCTCCCTTGGGAGCTGCGGGGGTGGAAAGTGGGGAGTGGGGGGAGCAAGATCCATGCTCCAACTCCTTTTAGGAGCACAGGGGTGGGGGACGAGGGAGGTGGTTGACCAGGAGGACCAATGATTGGTTTAAAAGAAATAGTGAAAAAGAAGTAGAAAGAAAAAATGATAATTTTGACATTTACACTTGTTCATTAACATTGTTCATACGCTCAGAACAAATTATCTATTTTAAAAATTAATGAACTCATATAAAATTATGACTAAAAATTAAAAGATGAAGATATTTTACTTTTTATTTTATGAAAAATTTATCCCTACTATATTTAGAAGGTTGAAACTTTACTCTTTTATCTTATGAAGTATATTGATGAAAATTAATAAATTAATTAATATATAATAATAATAATTTAACATCGATCGTGAAATCTAAAAACATTACTATTTATATATAATATAATCATCTTTAACCTCTCTTAAATTTGATCATGTAATGTGATGAAGTGGATTATAAATTTTTATAACTAATAATTAACGTCATTAATCAAAAAAACATCTATCATTTTATACCTTATTACGTTTATGTGAAATTAAAGTAAAAAGTGAAAATATTATTTTATATGATTTTATTAAACATGGGTCTATATAGTCTTAACTCATCCTAAAGGAAACATTTTATTAAAACATTCCAATAATCAACATCTTTATTTATGCCTTATATAAAGAAACGAAAAACATTTTAAGTCATAAACAGTGAGATTAATTATTCTCACTATCTATAATTCACTTATTAATTGTTCATCTCTCTGCTCCTTACTCACGTATAAGAGGAGGTATACTCTGCTCATTTCTAAAAAAATTGTGTGGATCAACCATAGTTTTTACTCGAACCAACCTGTTGAAGTTGTTCTTGAAAAATCTAACAACCCATTTGCTTGCTTGTCTATAGCTCGTGTAATTTCCTTTGTTATTAGTCCCAAGGTCGAGATCCCTGTAGTTCACATAGGCTTCCCTTGGAGATTTCGAGACGTAGGGAGCCAGGTAGCTATAAAGCCTTCTCATCCAATATAGGTGCCTTTGAGGTGCTAGATTATCTTCCTCTTCCCACAATACCTCGTAATAAATTTTGAATAGGTTTCCTGCTCCATGAGGGAATGGGGTCTCAGACTCTGGGATTTCATCCATTTTGCCTCCGTAAGGACTAAAGATGAGTTCCACGGTCCCTGGTTTTTCTTCATAGAACCTTTGCCATAACCCTTCTAGTGCAGTTTCAGGAATAAGTTCCTTGACGTAGTCCCATTTTGCTTTGAAGAACGTTTCAGGATATAAGTTCCTATCAAGCAGCGCATCGAGTGGTGAACTATTTGGGATTTCTGCAAAGTAGATGATAGATTTGATCCAGTTCATTTCGTGACAATCTTTTTTGACCAATCCAAGCTCCGGAAAGCTTTCTTGCATCAACTTGATTAGCTGATCGGTTCTGCCAAGAAACATGGAAACAAAAGAAGCTTGTATTGTTCTTTTTCCTTCTCGGGTTGAATTCACATCCGTTAAGAAGATTTTCAGAAACAAGTCTTCAGGACTCTTAGGCACTACGTATTGGCACCTGTGAACAAGCTTTGTTGCGTTCTCTTCCAAGACCTTGTTTATGGTAAATACAGTCACAAGTGGCGGAACAGAAACCAACTCAACTTTCCATGCCACGACGACTCCAAAACGAACTCCCCCACCTCCTCTGATAGCCCAAAACAAATCTTCACCCATGGATTTTCTCTCAAGAATTCTTCCATCAACATCAACTAAGTGTGCATCAATTATATGATCAGCTGCAATGCCGAACTTGCACATCAACATGCCATAACCTCCGCCACTGAAGTGGCCACCAACAACCACAGTGGGGCAAACACCAGACGGGTAGGCAAGAGTTGCACTTTTTTTTGCAATTCTATAATACAATTCGCGAAGAGTTGCACTAGCTTAAATCCACGCAGTCTTACTCCCTACGTTAACATTGATTGATCGTAGATCAATCAAGTTAATTATGACGAATGACTCTTGAACGACGTAAGAAAGATCTTCATAGTCATGACCACCGCTTCAAACTCTAACCTGCAAGCCATGTTTCCTTGATCAATTAACGGTTGCTTGGAAGTGAGAGACATGAATGGGCTTAACAATGACTAAAGGTATTGGGGTCATTGGTGTAGAAAACCTAAGATTCCCATATGAAAAATTCAATACAGATGTATAAGAGGAGTTGTTTTGGGTGTAAATGACATTAGAGATAGGAGTAACATTGTCATCAGAATGTAGGAGAAGGCATTGGAGGAAGCTCTCATGAGTTTGGCCTAAAGTTGCCCGCCAAAATGACAAAAGAACAGAAACAAGCAGAGACATTGAAAAGCTAGGCCACTCCATTTTGGTTAAATGGACTTGGAGTATGAAAGCTTGCCAGAACTCTTGGCTATTTATAGCACCATGATTCCATGGTAAGCTTGTATGTGTGATGAACCCTTTGCCTCTTTTCCCCCCTTCATACAGTACTTTCACATAGGCATATTTTTTTACTTTATCTTTAAATATGGATACAGCCAAGGACCGAAGTAGAGGGGCAGGCAGAGTCCTTTTTGCCTTAAATGCTGCACTTTCTCAATAAGCAAATAGGTAAAATATTGCAATTGACATGTGAATTCTATACTTTTTAATATATTAAGGGGAAAATCTTAGGTACCATTTTCAAGTAAGTTGGGAAAATTTTGGCTATAAAATTTTTATAATAAATTGACCTTTCGTTTTGGTTGATGTTTTTGTTATTTATTTTTTATTTTATATATTTTTTTTATCTTTTTTTCATTTTTTATAAAAAATAATTAATTAAAATATGAATAAACTCGCATTATTTGATTAATTCTCTTAATTGATTAATAATGCAAAAATGAATCAACATATTGCTCCTCCCGAACAAAATAGTAAGTTCTTACTCTGAATTTTTAGGTCTAACATTTTTAATTTTTAGATTTAATTTTTTAAAATTTTAATTAATGATAAATTTAAAACAAAATACAAAAATAAAAAACTTTGACATCAAAAAAACAAAGTCAAAATGAGCACTCATTAATTGTTGTTAAAAACTATTGAATATTGGTCATAATGTCTAGATGAGATGCTAAACTAGCTTTCTTAATTAAGATTAATTGATTTTTTAAAAAAATGTACTTTATCAATTCAATTAAAGAAAGATCAATTAATCCATGTGCAACTTTTAATTCATTTTTGACATAATACTTTAAAAATTTTTAAATTATTCAAAAAATTCAAATAAACTTTAATTCAAAAAGATAATTTTATTTTTTATTAATTTTAAAAATTACTAAACTATAGTTTTCAAAAAAAAAAACTCTATTTACCTCCCATCGACCAAATTTGGACAAAGAGAGCTAAATTCAACCAGATTACACTCTCTCGGGGAGCATTAGATTAACACTCCCCAAATTTGATGCTCTTTAAGAAAATTCAGCCGAATGTGGCATTTCATGATTAGATTCAATCACGAGGTGACTGATCGGGGTAAGAGAGGATCATTAGTCGACATGAAAGAAAGAAAAATAATGAAAAAAGAATATAAATATTTTAAAAATTTTAAATTTAAATATTAACATCCTTTATACATTTGAAACAAAATGTTTATTTTAAAAAGTAATAAACTCATTTGTATATAGTTAAAAGTTGAAAAAATCTATATATTTTATCCAAAATTAAAATGTCATAAAATCATTCTTAATGATTTCCCAATTCAACCCAAAATCTCTTGTATAATTTGCAATATCTCAATTTACTTATAATAATAATTCGCAACTATAATAGTTAATAAAAGCATATATTTGATGGGATTAAGTTCCTCTCCATTTTTTATCTTCTATAATTTAATTTAAAATTATATTATAAAAAAATTACAACAATTAAACCAAAAAACTTTGACATGATTAATTATATGATTCCAATTAAATCAAAGATGAAAAACAAAAATAATTAGTATTATTATATAAATAATAAAATTTTACAAGCAAAATTTCAATAAAACTTATATTCAAAACTATTCATCTCACTTGAAGATTACGCAATTCTCCAACAAGCCTTACCAAATCCTTGGCAGAGCTTCCCCCGTTAGTTACACCTCCCAATGCCTTATCTTTCAACTCTTTCGCTCGCTCTTTCATTCGCCCCCCATCACTCATTGACTCACTAATGACGCGACCTAACTCAGTCGAGTCTGGAACCGCGTCCGCACCTTCGCACACCCGAACTCCCATGCCTATATCTTCTACCAAGAGCCTGGCGTTCACGAACTGGTCAGCCTCCATGGGCCAAGCCAATACCATGACCCCACCCACTATCCCCTCCAACACCGAGTTCCACCCGCAGTGGCTCAAAAACCCACCCACTGCTTTGTGACTCAATATCAGCACCTGCGCGGCCCACTCCCTTATCACCAGGCCCCTACCCACCACCCGCTCCTCAAACCCCTCGGGCAGAACCCCGAACCCCTCAGCCTGCTGTCGGGTCGTACCCGTTTTCACCACCCATAGAAAACGGGTACCACTATTTTCAAGTCCAACAGCCAAAGCTTCCATTTGCTCCCTTCTCAACAGCTTCTGACTCCCAAAGCAGACATAAAGAACAGAACCTTCTCGGCATCCATCGAGCCAAGTCAGTACCCGGTCATTCGAGTCAGAACCCGAACCCGCATTCCCCCGACCAGAAGAATCCTGGCCCGCCAAATTAAGTGGGCCGACCCCAAAAATCCGATCATGACCCAATCTTTTCTTCAAATAATCCATGAACTTACCTTCCAAGGCATCAAAGGAATTAAAAACGCACCCCCAACTTCTTGTATTTGCGATCTTGCCATCCTTGACAGGCTCCCAGTTGGGATCAGATTTTTGATACAACCGAAACAAAGAAGGCAAATGATCGGCTTTGAAAACATGGGAACCAGGCAAAGAACAAAGCTCGATCTCGTCCAAAGGCTTACACCTTTCAACGTCGTTCCATAGATAATCATCGATGGAAGCTAAAAAGGCACCGGACGGGAAAAAAGCAAGCCTGGATATTTTCAAGCGGAGGGCAAGATGATGGGTCCAACCGAGGAAGAAATCGGAGATGATGGCGACGGGAGGGTTGGGGTGAGAAGTGAACCAGTGGAGTAAAGGGTCGTAGAGTTTGAAAAGAGTGGTCATCATGGCGAGGTTACCGGAGGAAAGGGAAGATGAGGGGGGTGATGGAAGGGTGAGAAGGGAAAGGGAAGATGAGGGGGGTGATGGAGGAAGGGTGGGTGGAGAGGAGGGATGAGAGGTAAGGGAGGTTCTTGGGGGTGATTAGGATGGTGATGGTTAGGCCGTGGAGAGAGAGGTGGTGAGTGAGGTCGAGAAGAGGCAGCATGTGGCCTTGGGCTGGGTAGGGGAATACCAGGATGTGGGTGTTGGTGTCGGTGGCTGTCATGTTGGTTGAGGGGAATGTAAGAGCCGATGGGGAGGAACGTGAGTTCGAGATTGCAGCTTATGACTGTCTTGTAGTCTTTGACTCTTGGGTGTTCACCCCTGTTACTTATTTACGTTGTCCGGTATGTTTTTGGACCATTAAATGTTCTTCTTCTAACTATCAACAACAAGAGTCCAAGACTGCTGGAACTGATCGAAGCTGGCCTCGCTTAAGTTACTCTAATCGTCCAACTAAAAGCAGACACCATCTCCCACCGCAAAATCCTTGAGCATGTCAGTGTACAATCAAACCTGGAATAAACCCTTTTGCAATCGTGGAATCAATGCGGGGAATTATGGTTTCTGCAACCATTGAATAATGAAAGGATGGGACAGCAAGAAATGCCTACGTTTAACAAGTTTCATTAATGATTTAACATCGACACATATCATCAGTAAGCCTCCTCTCCTTCCAACAGCTTTGCCTTTCGGCCTTCCCGTATCACAACCACTTTTTATCTTCCCTCCCCAACCCAACTCTCAAAATTTTCCACTTTCCTTCTCACTCGCTCATTCTGGATTTATGTCGTGAATAACAATCCAATAATACACAAAAATTTTATTGGAATGTTACAGGAGATTTGTTTAGTCTTGCCAAGGATCACTCTCTGCTCTCACTTCTGATGGTTCGATAACTTGGGTCTCTGAATTCTCACTAGAATTCATATCACTTTCAGCAGCACTAACTTCTGGTGCTTCTGCCTCATCCTCCTCTGATCTACCCCATCTTCCTCCAAGTGCCATTGCCATCATTTCATATATCTTGTTACCCAGCTCAGCAGGGCTGTCGGGCTGTATAATGAAGAGGATTGTAAGAATAATTCGATGATACATAAAATGCTGCAACTATGTTTAGCTAAACAGAACATATCATTCTGTCCACTTACAGTAAAACCACTGGAGATCAATGCTGTATCATATAACAAGTCAACAGCTCTCTTGGCATCATTGCTGTCAGGTGCATTCTTGCATGCAGCCTGCACGGAAAATAACCAAAATTAACACCCTAATTAAGACAGGCACAATTAATATTTGCAGCCTATAAAATCATTTAAGAAAAACCAAGGACAGCAATCCTCGACATATCAACATTTTCAGAATACACCTTACAATCAACATTTTGACCACCACTACTGCCAAAATGAAGTGTAACTGCTCTGTCAAATCGCGAATACAAATCTCTTGAGACATTAGTGTGACTAGAGTAACTGCTACTACATCTCACATTAATTATAGAGAGTCTGCAGATATCTGAGTTAATAATGTCATTCTTCTTTGTGATGGTGCCCTAGCTAGATGTCTTCAACCATTTTATCATACCAATTTCTCCACTAACTAATTAAAAGATAAATATTAAAACTAAAACATCTTCAATCAAGTCTAACCAAATTGGTCTTACATTCAAATCTTTAACAATTGGATGATCTGGGTTAATCTCCAGTATCCTCCTTCCCCTCATGAACTCCAAACTTGCAGTATCTCCAAGAGCTTGAGCTTTCATCAGCCTGCATAATGCATCGAAATATTAGTTGAAGAATAGGTTTTACATGTGTCTATGACTCTTGTTGAGAAGTAAAAAAATACTGCTAACCTTTCCATGTTGGCTGACCATCCAAACTTGCCAGAAACAAGCACACAAGGTGATGAACTTAGACGCTTTGAAATTTGGACTTTGGCCACCTTGTCACCAAGTTGTTGCTTTATCCAATCACAGAGAAGATTGTATTCTTGTTTAGTTTCCCTCTCTTTGACCTCGTCCCCATCACCTGGTATAACAACAAATTTCATCAGATTCACACCAAAGCCATCAGGAATGAAGAGCAAAGGTGCCCAAGATCACTCCCAACGAAAAAAAAGAAAAGAAACGGAAGAAATCATAAACACTAACCAAGTTCTAAATCTTCCTTGCTAATATCAACAAATTTCTTTTCTTTGTAGGTCTGCAGATTTTGGATTGCAACCTCATCGATGGGCTCAATTAAATAGAGAACCTTAAAAAGAAGACGCTCAATCAGTCATCAAAGGAACATCAAAATAAAAAAGCAAAGAAGCCATATCAGTTACCAAGGGGAAACGAACAACAACAAAGGTCTAAGATTTACTAACACTAACAAGAACTTAAAGGCCTCTACCATCCTATCAGCTATAAGAAACAACCAACGTTAATTTTTTTTATTCTTAAGCTAAGTCTTCCATTAGTATCTCAAGATATAAGACTACCTGAAGATGATCCAGGTAATTCGCTAGACAATATCAATAATTTTAATCACATAATTACAAGTACTCTAAATATCATGTGTGGCAGCCTAAAGACCAAAATAATGATTATTTAGAGCCTTACAGCCAATGCCAAATGCACAAACATACCTCAATGTCCTTTTGAACCAACTTCTCCAAGAACGGAGCAGTCTTGGCACTTTTCAAGCTGTCAGTTGCCAAGTAATAAATAACCTTTTGATTCTCACCCATATTTTCAACATATTCATCCAAACTTGTCAATTCCTCTTCGCTTTTTGATGTGTAAAACCGAAGTAGTGGTGTTATACGCTTGTGATTACCAGAATCTTCAATGCAGCCCAACTTTAGAAACCTTCCAAAGTTCTCCCAGAATTTTTTGTAATCCTGTAATCAAGTTCGCCATACTCCAAGTTGATCAACAAATTTTAGGTGAGCAATGGTTAAAAAACACATGGTTTCCATCATGCTGTATACCTCTTTGTTTTCACTTTCAGAAATCTCTTGGATCATGTCAAATGTTTTCCTGACAAGCCTCTTTCTCATAATTCTCACCTAAACCATGATAACCAGATAATAGTTAATATGGTAAATAACAGTAACTGCTAAATAGTTAGCAGAGTTACTCATGGATCCTAAACCGAGAATAAGAATTTTATGTGAGGATAAATGTGCACACATAATTTCAAAAAAAAAAAATGTGCACTCGTGTGGAAGTATAAAACTCATGTTGATATTACTACAGAATTGCAAACAAAATTAATCTTACAATTCGACTTTCTTGAAGGATCTCACGAGAAACATTTAGAGGAAGATCATCTGAGTCCACAACACCCTTCACAAAGCTCAAGTATCGTGGAAACTGCAAAATAACATTAAGGTTTAATACAAGTTAAAGCTAACACAAGCCACTAACACAAGGAAAGACTCTATCTATCATCACAGCCCCTACAAAACACAATAAAAGAAATTAAACAACCGTTTTTCCTATGTTTTGGTGAATATCTTCAATATATCTTCGCTTGCCATATACAAGTAGATTTTAGAAATATTTTTCTAGTTCAAAATAATACAAGACCTTTTCATGGCTTTATGGTAAAGCAGAAAGAGATTATCAAACAGACTAAAACTTTTCAGTTTTAATATTTTCAAGGCATCTGAATTTTGTTCAATGCAAAGCACCATAATAAGTTCCCTTAAGAAAAGTCATTACTGCATGAACAAACAGAGCTACAATGTGACCAAGTTAAAACTTACCAGTTCTCCATCGAAATCATCTGAGATAAATACACGTTTCACATACAAACGTATATTCTTTGTTTTAGGGTTTATTACATCCTCATTGTTAAGAGGCCCCATGCCAGGAATATACAGAACACTCCTAAACTCCACTTCACCCTGCAAGGTTATAAAGAAACATTAACAACTCTAGCTATGCATAGGAAGTCAATTCGTAAAACAAAGAAACCAATGCATACCTCTGTAGTAAAGTGCGTGTACCCAAGTGGATCCAAGAATTCGTTGAAAGTCTTCTTGTAGAATTCATGGTATTCATCTTTTTCAACTTCCTTAGAATTTCGCATCTACACCATGCCCAAAGAAACACATACATAATGGTACAAAACAACAAAACTATATGGAAAATAGAGAAATATTCTAAAGACAAAACAGCATGAGAAACTGTATGTTATTGTGCAGAGAGAACAAAAACTCACCCATATTGGTTTTGTTTCATTTGCTAATTCCCAGTCCCAATACTTCTCAGTTTTAGTTGTCTTCTTTTTTTTCTCACCCTGGCAACAAGCACATAAACCAACTATAACAAAATATCAACCAAGCAGAATGTTCGCTACGACAATAACATCAAGAAGCATGGCATAGTTACCTCTGGCTTTTCTTCTCCATCTTTTGGTTGTTCTTCCTCCTCCACCTGCCCAAAGATCAAACATAGTAAAGAATGGTTAAATAGCTAAATCTTTTATGCGCTCAAAACTCAAGTGCTTATAACAAAACAGAGTGACTCCTTGGTATGTATGAAGATCAGGTAAAAACAGAAAATTCGCAAATATTTTAAACGGCTTAGCCCAGTGGTAACACCTTTAGAGTAAACAAGTACTTTCAACAGTTTGTATTTATAGTTATAAAATATAAAAAAATGATGAGAAAGTTAACAACAATTAAAACAACTTAGTCATCCAATGAGGGGCAACATCAGCACATAAGGAGAAGGAGAGAAGTCACACCGGGACGGGGCAACAACTTCTCATGTAAATTGTTTTCACTTGCTTAAAGAACTAGTAGAAAAGGAAAGGAAGTACTTATATCAAAACTAGAATAGAAATGTATATACTCACCTCCACTGTCCTCGATTTTTCTTGCCAAGTGTAGATAGGGAAAGAAACAAATTGAGAGTAATTCTTGACCAAATTCTGAATTCTGGTGGGATCCAAAAATTCATACTTGTCATCTGACTGCAAGAGAGCAATATCGTAGACCACATTTGGCCTTAGAAGAATTGTACATTTGAAGAACCAGAAAGTTAACATATATAACAACACACTATATTAAAGTCTCAATTCCATTTACTATCTTCTTTTAATGTTTAAACATACAAATGTTAATAAATACACGAAAATATTCAAACAGGTTGCAAGGGAGTAAAAAAGAATGAGCAGCTAGATTACCTTTAAATAAAGTGTAATCTGTGTTCCACGATGTAGAAGCTTCTCAGGATCAGTTTCCTCCCTAATCACATAGGAGCCACTGTCAGCCACAGCTTCCCAAACATATTGCTTCTCTGACATTGGGCTCTTGGTGGACACAACAACCTGATTATGGAATAATATAAGCAAGCAAACACAATTAGCAACCTAACTAGAAAATTATTGACAAAAAAGGCTTCATACAGAAAGCAGAAGATCTTAATGCAAAATATAAATTAAGCACATAGCACATTAC